CAGTGGCCAAAAAAGGTTGGTACGGAATGGGTGTATTTCCCCCCATAATATAGCAACAAGGACTAAACAGTTAGCTGAAAAGCCTAACCATAGTTCCAAGGATATTGAACAGAGTCATTCAGGGAATGTGGATTCCAATGGTTCACCATATGTCGTAGACATAAGTGACATAGTTTCTGAAGACAATAATAGTGAAAGAGTGAAAGGGAAAGGGAAAGGTGTAATAATTCATTCTTCTGAACCAAAGGAGAATAATGCAAGAATTATTCGTACATCTGGCAGGTATTTTGTTTACAAAGCTATTTTCTTGGTTAGATACTCTTTTAAGTAAATGTTCTGGTTATTACTTTCTTAATGAGTAAGATTTATATTTCAATACCTGGTTTAAATAAGGCTGAAGAATTTAAAGGGTTGCTGGTTTACTATTTAAGAGTGATATAAGGGTTTTACTTCTCAGATTGTCATAACCTTGTCCTTCTGTTATTTTGTTAGTTTTGAAAAACTGCAGTCAACCACACTGGAGCTAAATTCTATATTTGTGTGTGTGTTTGTCTACATGCGTGTGTGTGTGTGTGTTTGTCTACATGTGTGTGTGTGTGCGCATGTACATTGGCTTTGGTTGCGAGATCCTACAACCGAAACTTTCTAAACATATGTATATATATGTCTATGTATTTGTATACAAATTTCTAAGTTTGTGATGTGGCAAACCATATTTCATTATCATTTTCTTCCTTTATTAGTTTTGGGCAATGATCACCAAAACCGCAGAAACTCGACAAAAATAACCAGATGTGTCTCCGGCCGACTACGTTAAGAATTTCTTTTTTCCTGCTTGATTGTTGTTGCCAACAGTGTTATTACCGGCTTCTGTTTATTGTTTGTTTTTACCAATTCCTTGCGACCTTATGGCATGATATTTTTTTTTTTTTGCAGCAGTCTTGTAAATGATAATAAAGAAGCTAATGGACTCGGTGATCTTGGTAGCGATTTCAATGGTGGCTGGAGAACTACACGTAATCGTTCAAGGCAAATAGATAATTTCTTGCCTTATTCAACCGAGCATTTTCCCAGGAGAACCAATGGAGTTGGAAACTTTATCAACCAACATCAAAATAGGGTAGATAGGAGGGATATCAGGAGTCGAGGAAATCAAAGGACTGAAGGTTTTGTAGAAGATCTAAATGCAACTCAAACAGCTTCAGGGCATGTGTCTGAGCTAGGCTGGATTACTGGGCCATCTCATGCAGCAGAGACAGTTATTAAAAGGCACAAGAAACGGGGATTAAGTTCTGGAAGTCATGCTGAATGCTCTTCACCGGTGTCTGTTGACTCGGATATTGTCTTTCTTGGGTCATCCGAGGCATCGGAAAGTTTAAAATCATCTAGGATCCAGAGACCTCAGTTTCAGGGAGCGTCAACTCGAGTTATTGAAGTTGATGATTTGTCACCTGCTGCAGGGCACTCTGTCGCTCAAGGTATCAATTCCATAAATGACGATTTTGATGCAAGGGCAAGACAACTAGAAGCTGATGAGATGTTGGCTCGTGAACTACAAGAACAATTATACCATGAGGTGCCCATTGCTGGAGGTGGTGAGGTCAGTGCTTTGTTGTGGACCAGGTTGTGTTTGTGTGTTTGTATATTTGTGCATGTGGACATTCAGATGCTTGTCTTTTACCAAGTCTTGTGTATCTGTTCACATTGTAGCAGGTTGATGAACATCTAGCATGGGCACTGCAGCAGCAGGAGGAGAATACTTTAAATACTTATTCTAGAGGAAGTCACAGTGCATCACATCGTGTGAGGGAGCCTCTTTATTCTCTGTAGTCTGTTGATAGCATGGTTTACTAATTATAAGTGCATTTATGGTGACTTCCACATGATTATTTAGAACTATTCTGATACACATGGTTGTAGGAATGATATCATATTCATATCACAGAGATGAACAGATCATTTCTGCTGTGCCAGAGGCCTGGGCTTCTGTCCCTAGAACTGAAAAAAGAAGTTATTATTTCTTGTTCATGCAAGCATTCTGAAATTCGGTCATTGGACAAGTGGTTGCATATGTCGTCGTTTGATCTTAATTGACGTTTTTTTATTTATTAATTTCCTGTTTTAAAACCAATGCCTTTGTGCCTTTGAAAATGGACATTTATTTCTCTATGAATGACTATGATTTATGCTGTTTGGTAGCGGTATTTTGTATTAATTATTTTTTCTTATGTTATATAGAGAGGTTCAGCAATCTTGCATTCAAACAGACAACCCCTGCCAGAATCTTTACAGAACCATTCCAATAGGAGAGGAACCCGGGCTCGAGACTCTTCCAGCATGGCACAGTTGAGGACTCGCTTTCGCAACCAGTCTAGAGTACCAACTAGAGGAAGAAGTCGGCGATTTCCCTCCGACATGGATCTAGAAATGGTAATTCTTTTTATCCCTTTTATTTCTTAGAGCCTGTTTGAAAAAGATCAAAAAGAGAGGAGAGGAGATAAGGAGGAGAAATGAAAGAATTTAAAGGAGAGAAGAGAAACAATAACACACAATTGTTTATAAATAAGGCTAAAAACAATTTTAATGTTTTGTCGTTTCTGGTTTTATCTATTCCCTTCCGCGTTTCCTCACTTCTCTTTTTCTCATCTCTAACTCTCCTCATTCTTGTTATTTGGGAACCAAGAAGAAAGATGTTATGAAACGGATCTTTACTGCCTGTTTCTTGCTTGCTGTGTTTGATGATTAAATATCCCTTGACGAAAATGGAACCTCTAATTGTCTACTTTTGTTCGTTTTGATCGGATGATCAAATTTCTCTTCAAGGGATTGAGTTTTTCTTTTGAATTTTTTGAAGTGTCATGCGCCCTTAAACTGGGTCTTCGTTCTAATGTCCCTTTAACTTTGAAACAATCAATGTCCCCCTGAAATTTAGGATGTCCTAAACAATGCCCTTCACTAGCTTAAGCCGTCACAGGAACATGTACGGGTCACATGAAATGACAAGTCATACCAGAAAGTTATTGAATAACAAGCAGGTAGCATGTGTGAAAATTTTCACTCTCTCTGCAGCCACCCAACCTCAACCTTCTTCTAACCCGTCACCACCATACTTCCCCATCTTGACTCGCCCCAACCCCCTCCCCAACTTTTTTCCTCCGCCACACATGGCTACACCTTCCCCTGCTCCCTCTCTTGTTTTTTTTTCTTTTTTCGTTAAACTAATTTATGCTATTTGATGCAGACATTTAATGTATTAGAAGCTTTAGAGGCTGCTGTTGAGGACTTTAGTGATGTGGGACTGAATGCTCGCATGCTTCGAGTTCAGAGGGATTTCAATGAGTAAGAGTTTTTTTCTATTTAACCATTTATGTCTTGCTTATTCTCATCTGAGCCTTGTATCATGCTAGACTTTAAAATGATACTTCTTTTATCAAACGGCTTCTTACATTAAGATTCTGGGCATGGTTAATTATTTTTAAAATCTCAATTCAAATACCAGTTAACTTTTGCATCTTCATTTTTTTTTCAGCAATGACTATGAGATGTTATTGGCACTTGATGAGAACAATCATCAGCATGCTGGTGCAACAGCACATCAAATTAATAATTTGCCACAATCTACAGTTCAGGTAGGTGGAGTGGAAGTTGAACAATTATTGAAAATAGTAACCTATTTACTTCTAAGCTTCTTGTGGTGGGCGATATTCCCAGCCATCATATCTGCATGTTTACCTGCTGTGAAGTAATTGTTTGTGGTTTCTTTGTTGCACAGAGTGACGCCTCTGAGGAAACTTGTGCAATTTGTCTGGAAACCCCAACCATTGGAGAAACAGTTCGCCATCTACCTTGCTTGCACAGATTTCACAAAGATGTAAGCACTCCAAATTCTTGTTTAATTAGCTTTCTCCAAGCAAATGAAGCCATCGAATATCTTACTCTTGTTTTTGTTGGTTTCCCTTCTTGCTCTCTCTCTCTCTCTCTCTCTCTCTCTCTCTCCCTCCTCCCATCTGTTTCTCGTTTCATTTTCAGTGCATTGATCCATGGCTTGGTAGAAGGACTTCGTGCCCAGTTTGTAAGTGTTCCGTCACCTAGGTTGCACCGCGATTCACCATTCAGGGTAGCTTGTGACAACAGCATCTTAATTATGTTTGTGGGGTCAAGGCAGTCATCGGTTCATTTTTGGTTTTCTTCTTAAGGATGTTCTTAACAACTTGTTCAGGTGGTAACATCTGGTCTTCTGCTCATACCATAAAAGAAAGCTCAACTATACCTGTGTAGCTCGATACTCGAGTGATTAATTTAATTTCCAGGCCTGATTAGCTCCGGTTTTTTGTATTTAACGTCGATGCGGCTGTCAGCATAAGTTCCGATGCATACGAGTACGAATCCGACCTCATTACTGGATCGATGCTCATTTGCGTTGGGAATGCCCTGATTGTTTGGATAGGATACAGGTACGCATTAAGTGTAGTAATTTTGGTTTTGGCGAGCATTGTCCGATCGGCGCTTCTGATAGGCCCGGCAAGAAAATTTGATAAAATGCTTGAGTTACTCAATTTTTGAGAAAGATGCAATGTTGAGGTTTTGCAAGATCTTTGGCTTCGCGGTTAAAATCACAAACCACGCTCGGATAAAACTTCGACAGTAGAGGCAAAGTGAGGAGTGTCAAGGGGTTAACTAACAAAATTTGAGTTCCAAGGGATTACGTTCAACTCGAGTTGAGTTTGTAAAAGAAGAGAAGCAAATACGGGGTTGTGAAAAGTCAAGGTTTTGTGTTCGAATCTCCTTTCTCATTGCTTAGTGTTAATCATCTATTATTTGTCAAAGAGAGCACATGGAGATAACTCCAAAGCAGTGGGAGTCCTTTCGACTTCCACGCAGCTTCAGCTCGTGCAATGCAATGATCAAATGAGGTCTCACACAAACCTTTGCTCAAGTTGTGTCAGCAAATTCAAATTCATGTTCTAAAATTAAAATTAATTTAGCATATTCAAACTTGATAGTTTGAAACCATAATTTTGACGATACTACCAAATGTCATCGCATTCTTTTGAAGCAAACGAAAGCAAAGAGAAGATAACAACGACATAAAACACCTCGAGGCTCGACTGCCTTATATTGCTCGGCTACACATTCCTTTTTCCTCCGAAAGAATGATTAGCAACAGTAATCACCATCCTCGACCGTCTTAAAGCAAAGAAAATCCAGCAGCGTCACAGTTGCTGCTAGTAAAACATGAGATACACACGCGCCTCCCTTATCTTCTCCACTGTAGGTCATGCGACGAAATCCATCTTCATCCACAGCAGACATCAATGCAACTGCAACCATTGCAACATTAATCCGAACAACTTTATTTGTAATTTGGGAACAAGTTAGCTGGATGATATCATAAAACAAACAATGCGTTGCAGTGCTACTCACCACTTGCAGGTATCCTCCACCGAATACAATCAACATCAAATTCTCTGGGTGTCGTATCAGTGAGAACATGGTATCTGCAGTCACAAACACCGGGAAGGCCATAAAACTGCTTGACAACCCCTTCATCTTATGACTAGTTAGTCAAATGAAAGAAATGAGCTTGGAGTTGGCTTTTGCTGCAACAATCACATTTTCCTTATTGTATGCAGATGTCATATTACACAATTTCCAAATTAGGTGAAGGTATCTTATATCCACTCGTGGAAAGGATGTAAAACATATTTGATGCAGAAAAGTTGTTACTGGTAGTCTGGTATATGATCTTCCACAATTTCCAAACGTCTATATTGCGTGGTTGTGGTTCGCAATCCTCCCAAAACCTGCTGAAAATATATCAAAACCATAGATGAAAAAACTACGACAACAATTGTATTCCATTGTAGCAATACGAATCAAGATGACTAAAGCACAGAGGAAATGACAACTAACTTCCGTCTCTTGGCCATGTCATGTCAGGCATCCCGGACTTATCCGTAAGCAGAAGCGTCTGCGCAATAACATTCATAGAGACTCAAACTAGAACAGTATGTATCCATTGAATGCACAGGACATAAACATAATTTGATTAGATACCATTCTTACCTTGTATATTCTACCATTCCAAGGGTCTAAGAGACCAATGGGCTTTGAAAATCCTGGTTTCCTGCAAGCATAAATGGAAGGGGAAACAATCTTGCTCCACTGCAGCAGTACAAATCAAGATGGTTAAAGCACTAGTGAATTGACAACTAACTACCACCTCATTTCAAGAGTTATGTCACACCTCGTAGCAGCACCGAGTGACGAGGAAGAAAAACGTATCTAATTCACTAGCACTGAGTGACGAGGAAGAAAACGTATCTCACTCACTCATGTTCTTACTCGTGACAGATCAGTGTGTATCAAGTGAAGAAATCCATCATCATCCTTATTTTCCTCATCAACTGCAGACATCAAGCCACCTTTGACAGTGGAAGAATTGGAGTTATCAAGTGTTTCTACGTCCTCGGAGGAGCAGTACTACTTTCTTTTTTTATTTGAAATAATAGGAGTACAAAATAACTCTCACTATTTTCTTCTCCCTGTCTCTAAGCTCGATATAGCTAACTGATATTTTTCTTCTCCATTCCCCTTCGTCTTTCTTTCCTCTCCTCTTCCCATGTCTTCTTCTCTCTTACTTTGGACGATTGTTTTACAGGCGTGCCTTTCAACCTAATAAGCCTACCCAGACACTTTCTTTGACAAGTTCGTAACAGCATGAGTCATCCACTCAAACCAAATAATAAATGGAAAACGCGTGACCATTCATATGTACAACACTTGGAGGCTTTTTTGCCTTGTTGAGAGGGGTTAGGCAAATCATACCCCACCATTATCTTAGTCAAAAGTAAATGTTTCACTCCGCAACAACATGAATTATATAATTAATTAATTATTGAGCAAACTTATATAATTATAAGCCTTACCTATTTGCCTAATCTTTTGAGGGACAAATTTTTTGAACAAGGCAAAATGGGACAAATTATAAGCCTTACTTATATAATTATTGAGACGTTTTCATTCACTATTGTGCCATTAGCGAGATAATTTCACGTAATATTTTCATTTCATGCTGATCTACTCGAGTTACGAATTTTTGTAATTTATATGTCCGCCATAAATAAAGCGATATTTAACTCGCTATACACGTGAGTCAAACTTTAGACATTACATAATAACATAAAAAGGATGAATGCGTTCACCATCACACTTTAAATACATAAGAATATTTGCTTCACTATGATTTCTCGGTATGTCAAACATTATTAAGAGGAATTGCAGAGACAAACTCTGAACATAAGATAAACAACAGCACAGATCGAGCACAAGGAGGAGATCCCGATAGAGTTCGCATCTCATGACCTATTAGAGTAAATAACCCCATATTAAAATGCAGCAACCTTATTGCAACGCTTCATTATAATTTTCGTTCTCAACCCTACATTATTGATAGGAGCGCGACGATGTTCGATAGATATTCCTTCTACCTAGCATCCTTGGACAAAAGATGAATGTGGGATTCAACTTTGCGCGCATTACACAGTCCGTCGACAGAGTCCCCCCTTTCGAAAACAGCTGCTGCCCCCATCCCTGTGCCTGCATTTTCCAAATAACAGCCATTGTTAATACTTGAAACGGGCAATAATATCAATGCTCCCGCACACAAAAGAGAAGGGGAAGAATTATTTACCTATGCACATTGATATCACTCCAAAGCGGCAGTCCTTTCCTCGTCGCTTCATCTCGTGCAATAAAGTGGCAACAGCGCGAGCACCTGCAATGGTCATACGAGGTCTCAGTACACTCCACAAACTTTTGCTCAAGTAAATAGATTTCTGCTAAGAAATTCAGATTTCGTATTCTGGAAATACAATTTTAATAAACAGTTTAATTCATGAATTATGGCACATTCAATATTTTTATTAATATGTAGACTTCAAAATTCCAATCCGGACAAATTTAACAGACAATTTAATCTGTTAGCAAACCGAAACCATTATGTTTATCTTTTACAGATACGAACGCTATACTGAAAGCTACGGAGAGGCAATAGGGAAATCTAATCGAAAACAATCCAGAACCTACAAGATCAAAGAAGAGGTAGAAACTAAATATATAGGGTTTAAGCATGGAGCAGCTTCCCATTTAATTGAAATAAAACTCTGGCTACTAGTGTAAGAGTAAGGGTGCCAAATTACAGTTTCAGAAATAGTTGCTAGAGAAAATTGGGAATTTATGTAAAAAATTCAACCCTTCAGGATCCAGTAACCTATAACAATACTGGAAGAAACTAAAACACAATGCAGTGAGCCATACAAAGTGGAATATTAAGTATGTACCTGTTGCACCAAGTGGATGCCCAATGGCAAGTGCACCTCCATTAACATTGATCTTTTCTGGATCAAGGCCCAACTTGTTACGGCAATAGAGATATTGGGATGCAAAGGCCTGCACAGAGGGGCATTTTTTATGTCAATTCATACTTGCAATGCCTAAAATCAGATGCAGAGATTCTACACTGATTAATACCTCATTTATCTCAAAAAGATCAATATCATCAAGCTCTAAACCAGCAGCCTTGACTGCAGCTGGAATTGCAACAGCTGGGCCAACACCCATGATGGCTGGATCCACACCAACAGCAGAAAAACTCCTGCAGAATAAAAACAGGGCAAAGTTATAAACTTTCAAAATAGTGCCAGCTCATTTAGATTAGCTTGGGAGGCAAAATAAGTCTTTTCAGAAACTACAATATAATTTTAGAGGAAGAATCCCAATTCAATAGCCAACCCTCAAGTTCTGAAATCCTTTTCATATGCTTTTAAGTGAATAGAAACTGATTAGCTGTGAGCCTGTGAATTACAAAGACTTATGTAACATAGAACCGAGTGCCATTTTGGTTTATCCCAGAAAAAGTTGCTTGATTGAAAACCAAGGTTCACAGCTTTAGTAGATATAAAGTAGCAAATCCAATAAGCATGCTGATAGAATTAAACTAGCAAACCCCAAAGGTACAGAAAAATATGCTGGGTATTGAGTCCTACAAGGATAGACACTTCTGAGCCTGCTTGTTGAAAAAGTAACGGAACATTGGACTCCCCAAATCTTAATTTCACCAGGCCGAAATTGCAGGTCAAACAAAAAAAGGGGAGCCCCTACTGTCCAATAGATGCACGACTTCAACGAGAAGCATACCTGAATACACCCAGAATCGGCAATCCTTTTTGCTCAGCTACGCTTCTCTTCATCAAGAGAACAGCTCCAGCACCATCACTAACTTGACTAGAGTTGCCTAAAAAGGGTACACCAAATGATGATATTGAATAATGCGATGATACTTTTTAAATAAATTGATTTATCATTTGTCAGAAGGTACCAGCAGTGGTGCTCCCATCTTTCTTAAATACAGGCTTCAACTTCGCCAGGTCTGCCAATGTTGTGTTCCGAATCCCATCATCAACAGAAATTGTAACAGGTTTCTCCTCACCAGATTTTGGGTCGACAATCTATTGTAATCACTCAAATCAGTGCCACATAAAGACCATGCATGCCCTTGCACAAATGCATGCAAACATAAATAGCCAAAACTGTACATTACCTTGGTTGCCACAGGAATAATTTCGTCTTTAAATTTACCAGTAGCAGTAGCAGCAGCTGCCTTCCTATGAGAATCAACCTAAAACAAGTATTTTGAAAAATCAATAAACATTGACAAAGCAAAGTAAAATACACCAAACAGAAAGATTTATTCAACTTACTGCAGCCTGATCTTGCTCCTTCCGTGAAACTCCAAATCGATGAGCAACATTTTCTGAGGTGATTCCCATAGGAAGAAGGCAATTCTGGGCTTGTTCAAACATCTTCACCTGACCATAATGCAAATTTATGAATCTTACAATCCTGTTAAAGACATCAATTGTGCAAGGAACTATTTTTCTAAAAGGGAAATAAAGGACAGAAAAGAAAGTACAGGAGAGAGAGAGAGAGAGAGAGAGGCTACTTTAGGGTTAACTGATCCTTCCCATGCCATTGGATTTGCAGTCATAGATTCCAACCCAGCTCCAATTCCTGCATCATAATCCGAGAAAAGGTAAACTAAAGATAAGGATACTTGTCTGAAGTGAATTGATCCTGTGATAATTACAAAGAAAAGCCTTGACAAAGACTAACCAATATCATAAAATCCTGCCCTTATAGACGCAGCTACATCAGCAACGGCCTGGAGCCCAGATGAACATTGTCTGTTCACGGTTCTAATTGGCACAGTCTCTGCACATTATAGCCATCATGCGCACGAGTAACAATTAACAAACAGTTGAGATACTTAAGGATCATTACATTTGCTTTCAGGGTATACATACCAGGGAAGCCAGCATAAAAGGCAGCCATTCTGCACTCACTAGCTCTTTGAGATCCTGGAGCCAACACTGTACCCACAACAATATCTCCAATTTCACTTGGGTTCACATTGGTCCTTTCTACAACTGCCTACAGCAAGCAATTGTTGTCCCAGTAAGAAAAAAAATATACTTCTTTCTATCAATTCAAGATAACAATAGTTCAAGGAATAATACTTGTTCCTATCAAACTTCACCAGAAACAAAAACAAGAAAGCAAAAACGAAGATAATGGTAATAACAAACCTTCAAAACAGGTGCAAGAAGATCATCAGCATGAGTATCCTTGAAGCCGCCGCGTTTCGCCTTGCAAATCGGAGTCCGATAAGCTCTGCAAGCCAAAAATGCTCAGAATTGTCAACCAAAAACATCTCAAAAATCTCTACGAATCGATACACATACAAAATTGAACCTGATCGAGGAGCATCAGGTCATATCATTTGGGAAAGTAAACAACTTACGCAACAATCACCACATCATCTCCGAACACGTGTGTCCTCGCATATGCAGCGCTGTCCCCAGCCGCACATGCCGATGCCTGATATCAAAAATACGCAAAACAAATCTCCCAAAAATTAATAAACCACCAATTATTCCAGTAGTCTGTCGGAGAACGAAATTTGAATCCGAAATCGGTTTTATCAAATTACAGAGCTGGAATTCGATCGAATTCAAATCTTACATATATATATATATATATATATATATATATGTTTTGTTGAATCAAATCAAATTAAGGTTGAATCGAACTTTGGGGATGACGAAGAGGAGTAAGAGAGAGGCTTACGGAGAGAGAAGAAGAAGAGTCGGCGGAGGGAGGGCGGAGGTGGTCGAGCAGAACACGCTGCCTGTTGATCGCTTTCTCCATTTTTGGTGCTTCTGCGTCTTTGTGTCTGGTATGAAGCTCGAAAACTGGGTGAGATGGTCAGACAAGCAAGCAAATGAAGGGCCGCGTCTGTTTGGTATTTATACAAGTGATAAATGCCGGTCCTCGGCCTGGGCGGTTCAGATCTGTCTCGGCCAATGCATAGATGATTCGGTTTTCTAACAATTATCAGATTTTGTTAAATTTTCAGGTGTGACGTACAAGCTCTGCAAGTGTTTCACTTCCACCCTTCCCTTCCGCGCGTGCTTTTGCATTTTATATTTATATATATATATATATATATATTTTTATTTATTTATTTAAACCTTTTGTTTCTTACGCGCTTTGGACGGGCGTGGGCTTTTATTTTGCAATATGAAAGCGAAACTATGGGAATGCGTGCCCGCTTGTAAAATGGAAGATAAAGATGGGGATATTCTTTTTATCCTTCTGGAAAACAGTGCTATCACAAACTAACAGCTCAACATTATTAGGGTATAAGGTCATCACCAACCGAATGAAGAACAGATAACTCGTTTTAGCCTGGACCTTTAATAAATTAATATTTTAATGTACAGGGCATGGTCAATGAACATATCCACCAAATCCACCAAATCCTTTGCACAAACCCACCAAATCCTGAGTTCCTTCCAAACCCTCGCCGCCGAGTCCCTTCCCTTCACTAAGCTTACCTACTTCGTGGGCACCATCTCCGCCATTGACAACCGGCGTTTTTCCAAACCTTGTGGTTAAATGCTCCAGCATGCACACCCATGGTTAATGGCTTTGAAAGCTGGTACTGGATACGATGGTGAGGAGATCATGAAATTGTTATCCCAAAAGGTCTTATGGCTGCGGTGTGTTTTTAGATCTTAGGGTTAGTTTTTCTAATTTTTTATTTTTTAAGTTTATTAATTTTTAAATTTTTTAATAATTATGTGGGTCCCTATGACACGTGATGCCTAGTCACTATCCACGTGAGTGCCACGTCATCAGTTAATGGCTGATTTAACAACAAACTTAATGGATGTATGAAAGTGTCCTAAAATTATGACTTTATGTACCTCTCTGGAATAAAAAAACTTCAAGTATTAAATGTTGAAAACCAAGAAACTTCGGAGTAGTAAACTGAGATTAATCCTAAATTTAAAAACTACAACTTATATTTAAAAACTACAACTGAAATTTAAAAAAAAAACAAAAAAACTACAACTTATATGTAAAAACTACAACTAAATTTTAAAAAAAATAAGGGAAGTATTATTGGTACTCCAAAAATCTCATTCTACACTCTGAACAAGTGTATTTTTCTTTCCTAATATAGAAAGTTTGGAGTGTAGAATGAGATTTTTAGAGTGCTAATAACAATTCCAAAAAATAAACAACTTAAATTTAAAAAATACAACAACTTAAATTTAAAGTCCATAATCAACATCATCTTCATCATCCACCATCGTAGGAGTATAATCGGATGTAAACAATTGTCGCGGGCTATAATTTCCCTCTAATTGTTTTTATCAAAATAGGCCTTACTCATTTGACTATAATCTGAAGTGTTCCTTTGCATATTCCTATAATTCATCTGTTCTTGTATTTGTTTGACCCGTTCTTCATGCCTACAGTTCATTTCTTCCGCGACAAAGGCATTTTGCTCCGCCATTAATTGCAACGAGGCCACCACTTCATGTTGAGCGGCGTAATCATCATTTGCCTTACCCTTTTCCTTCAACCTTCGGGCCTTGTTTCGTCCCATAGCCCTAGGTATGGAACATTCACCCGAAGACGGATTTTCTACCCTTATTTGTTGAATGGTAGGAGATCCATCTTCATCCCCATCTACAGCTGAGGATTGAGTTCCGAACAACATCATAAGACCTACTCTTTGTTGAGGTGGATCTTCAAATAACACCCACCCTTTACAAATTTCCCAACAACTGTGAAACTGAAAGGGTTTTGAGCTGCCCTCCATATACAATTCCTTCGCTTGGCGTACCTAGAAAATATAATTACAAAAAGTAAAGGAAATTAATTTATGAAATTAAATGTAATATAATTAAATATTTAAAATAAATTGTGAAAACACTTACTTCGTTGTAGTAATTGGTGCCACTTTCGTGTCTACTTGCGGCCGCCAACAGTGCTTGATGCCATTTATTCAAACTTGGATGAAGTTGTTTTTTCCATCTTGAAGAACTGCTCTCGTGGTTTCGGGTATTCAGTGGAGTGGTGCCTTCGTAGAACTCATAGTATTTTTTGGACACACGAGTCCAAACACCTTCACTTGTTTGAGAACTTCCCCTCACACTATCTTTTGAGACCTATCTATAAGCCTTGCAAAGAGTTTCATCTTCTTTTCGGGTCCAAGCCCTACCTTTCATTGCAGACGAGACCATTTGAAAATTATTGAAAAATTTGAAGGAAAGATTATTGGAAGAGGTAAGAAATTATGAGAATTGAAATGGTGAAAATTATGTGAGAAATTGTGTAGGAATACTTAAGTATTTATAGGAAAAAATGAGAATTTTAAAAAAAAAATTTGGGCAAAAAAAAATCAAATCCAACGGTAATTGACGTCAGTTAGCCGTTGTGTTTAAATTTTGGCCTAGCCCGGGGCTGACTGACTGGCTGGTTTGGGTTGGCCGGTTGGCCCTTTGGCCCTTTTTTGTCCAGTGGGGCCCACGAGCTCTTTGGCCTAGCCCTAAGTTGGAGACGGTTTTCGGGCTATTTTCGGCCCTCTGGCACTCTGAACCATTCGGTTGAAGATGGCCTAAGTACCCTTAAAAAAAAAAATTTTAAAAAGAAACGCATGTCGTTTAGGTACTCGTTTTACTTAAATAGATTTTGAGTATTCAAATTTAATCCAATTTTGTGTGATTTTGTGGAACTCCTCTCTTCTTAGTGTAAAAATATCGATGTATTACAAAAAAAAAATTAAATTCCATTTTTTTAACTAAAAATAATTTTTGAATTTCAAGTAAAATGGTAGGGTGTTTTTAGAAATTAAACTCAAAATAAATTTTAATTCTCTGTTCGGTTGCTTGCCCTTGAAGAAACTGAACAGAGAGTCTATATAATCTTCATCCAGATATCTGTAGGGTTTAGATATATCAATTTTTTTGGTGTAAACGAATTTAGAAAATTATAAAACTCCCATGTATGAACACATGTTTTCTCCTTTCAGCCCCTCAAAATCTTCCAATACTTAATTGAAAATTTGGACGCTCAATTGTTGATGAACGCTAAAACAAAATACACAAGTATCTAGACAAGGTTGCAAGGTGTAACTTTTATAACTTGGCCGACAAGAAATTTGAGTAAAAATGGCGAAAGCCTAGCAGTGATTGAGGACTTCTTGGGTGTTATAGAATAGAAAATAGGATAATGACCGTAAGCTGTAAAAGAAAATTGGTGAGTGAAAAGGAAAGATCAATTTTCTAAGACATAAACTAAATATACCCCAAGCGAAATCCTGGGCAAAACTGAACTCTGCCTGGGTTTATTGTTATCACTCCATAAACCGAAAACTCATACCGCCCGCATTGTGCTTGTTAGTGAATGAAGCACCAAAAGCTCTTAATTTCATGAGATATGTTGTAGAGATTAAACTTAAATGTTAAGTTGAGGGGTGAAAACTGTGTTCATCATTCATACGGAAGCAAATAAGGGGATAGATTTCAATAGCATTCCAAAAGGAATGCTGATTTACAAGCATCCAAGTATTCCTCCATTACATAACTTAAGCTAAGGATCCATTGCACATGGTGGAGAACATATAGTGATTTAACTACCTAGACAAGGTAAATATATATAAACTATACAACCAATGCGAAATACAAAACCGCCCCCGTCCTAAAATGGCTAGCAAAAGAGGACGGGTATAACCTAGGAAGGTAAAGAACTCCAAGAGTTTGAGCAATTTACCAAGACCTTGAAAGCCGCATGACATCTGAAAAGTTTCCAGAGACATTCCAAAGCGACTTAGGTACACTTGAAACCACGGCAAATAGTTAAATATATCATGAGGGCTATGAGAATGAGGATCCCCACGACAATCAGTTTCATCTTCATGTTCTGAAACCACATCTTTCTTTTCATTTTTGTTCCCTGTGTCCTGAAATCTTGGGCCTGCAACAAGCGAAAAATGAGGGAGGGATAAAGAAACTGAAGCGAGAGCAAGTACAGCACCCTGCAGTGTCTATCTAATCGAATAACCATATCATCTTCCCGCAGCCAAACCTAACAGGGCATGGGTTTCCAGAAGTTAAACTAGCTCAAGCAGTAATGATTCTTGGACTAACCTGGGAGCGAAGATTATCAGTTTTATCCACCAACAGCTCAATCTTCTCTCCGCGATCAAGAACCTGCATAACATATGAATTTCCATGACTAAAAATCAATGACATATTTACCTACTTAATTGTACTGAGAAAAGTCAGAATTAATATTCTCATTGAAGTGTTTACTAGTTATTTCACAACGATTGTTAAAATGAAACAGGAATCGAGTTATACCTATTACAATTTACAAATGCTTTTCAGGAATCAAAATAAAAATCATTCGGATTACTTGAGCACCATTGTACAAAGAAACATTTGTATAAGGTTCAACTATTTATTAATAAAACACTGGAATTACTAAAGCACCATACGCATCATAAGGGAGTTTCTGATGTCACGTAAAATCAGAGAAATCAGAAGTTTCTTGATTTTTTTTAATTGCAGGTAAACACTGACATTTGCATGCATGAGAATGATTCCCATTTCGGGTAAGCAAACATATCATCAGTCAATGTATGGGAAACAAAAATGTAAGAGAAAATAACCAAAACTGAAGTCATTATAGTGTATACTCAAAATTAGTCAGAGATATTGATACGACTGCCACAAATTACCATTTGTCCGACGAAAAATAAAAATTTGTTAAGCAAATGTTTTAGCGACGGGTTTTGCACGACGAACTTTGCTCTATGGACTGTTGCCGGGCGAAATTAGAGATGATGAAAATGTATTTGGTCTGACAAAGTTATTTCGTTTGTAAATGTTCTTTTTTATTTTTTTTATTTGTAGTGTACCATTGCTAAAAATCATACAGGATAGGCCGCTAGGGATCAGAAAGAAGTGAGCAAAAGTAGGTTATATCGTAGTCGGTCTCAAGTTCTCAACTTCCAAATTACTTATAGAAGAGTTACAAAAATATGCTAAAATAAACAGTAGCAGTTCACTGTACCTTCTCAATATTTTCCATCATAACACCCTTGACCTCAGTAACCTGAGCCTTCACTTTTGCAAGCTTGTTGATCTCTTCAGGGTGATCAACACAGTACTTCATGTGGTCCTTCAGTTTGGGTCTAAAACATCCATACAAGAGTTAGCGTATCATTTGAAAAAACAAAATTTGTTGCCATGAGAACTGAGGACTTAAAAGAAATAAATACCCAAACTCTCTGTTCAGTCCATTGGCAACAGCAGTCGCAGCTTTCCCACCACCATATCTTTTGTTGAAATCATCCTTGATTCTCTCCAGGTAGGCAATTGGAATTTGCCTCCCAGCAGATTCAGCAGCAACTACACAGTAGGCTGTAGTATCCAAAATCAAGAGAGTTTAAAACCCTAATCCGATAATACGTATGGGGATTATGGACCACTTCATAAGCATTCATCTTCGCAGAGTACGATTTTCTTTTGGGTTGAAAGAATTCAAACTAAAGACGGTCTTCAAATACTACTAGCGATCTAGTTATTAGTATATAAAATATAGATAATCAACCACCACCAAGAGCAACCACCAGCAACCTTGCCATGCACTCATTCTATAAGATCTGATCAACTGAGTACAGGCAGAGGGAGACCAGCAACCGCCTTTCTCGATTGCTTGAGAATTATAAGAAAGTAAACGACTAGATGTTAAATCTCATGACATCTCAAATCCAACAAAACAGAGATCACCAAAAGTTTCAAATCGTCAAATCATATCTTTTCACATAGTGCCGGCACAATCATTGGCCTTTCTGTACCACCGAAAGTTTCAAAGCATTGCGCATCGCGAAAAACCACGTAATGAAATAATCAAACCCAACAATTTAGTTCAACCAAACAAATAGTTAACATTAATCAGCGTTTTCAATTTCATAAACGTAAACTTATATAATCCTCCCATTCCAACAACGAACAAACCGAAGAGAAAAAGATATAGATCAGAAGAAAATAAATAAATCAAAGTTGACAAATAACGAATAAATTGGAAGGAGACCGTAAAAATGCACGAGGAAATGAATGCATGGGGACTCACTGAAGCCGTTTTCGACGAGGTAATTGAAGGTGTGGCCATCGCAATTGTAGGTGAACTTGTTGTTGGAGGAAGGAAGCTTCTGGAGGCATTGAGCGGCGATGGTGGTGAAATTTCCAGTGAACTCTGTGTACTCGGCGAGAATCACAGAGCCTCGAGCGACGAAGCTGTAGATCAGAGATTGCTGCCCCATCTCAATCCCAAATTACAGAAGAGAAAGAAGAAAAAAAAACTAACTGTAATCCCAATCAAAATGTGGTTGTACGGAGATTCAGAGAAGAGAGAGACGATGGGATGGAAAGAACGAAAATGCTGAATTTACGCAGGGAGAGAAAGAATGAGCAATATACCGTATTTTTCTTTTCTTTGAGTTCCTGAATAGAACGACGTCGTAACTTTAGTGATGTAGTTAATTTAAATTTCGCAGTTGCCAAAAAAAAATATATATAGAAAATAGATATTTTATTTGAACCCGTATAACTTCATTTTTTTACACTCAACTTACTCTACACCCATATTACTTTTAATTATACTATTAATATCTCTTAAACCCAAATTTATTGCCTAAATTATCCTCTTAAACTCAATTCAATATGTAAATTTATAATTTTTACACCCATTTAATGTTCTCTCCTTCCAAACAGGTATATTGTGTTTCTTTTCAATACGTTGGATGAGTTGTTTGATTTCTCAACTGAAATTAAAGTGAAAAGTGCTTATGAAAAGCCTTACCCTACTGGCTACAAATCCTGAACAAAATCAGATATTCGAACATCATTTTTGGTCTAGTGGAAATGATGTGTTTCGGTATGATTTACTCAACTGAATTTCACCATAAACATCGAAATAATTTTTTTTTTTACACTATTAATGCGTCCTTTCAAAATTTCCAACAGGTCTGTTGTCTTTAGCAAACAATGAACTTGAATTTAACGCCATTCTGTGCACAATTAAGAAAAAGATGCGTGATGGTAAGAATTTGATTATTAAGTGTGAGTTCATAGATAAAATTTAATTTTACTGTTAATTTTATCTTTTACTTGATGGTCATTATACAATACGACAAAAAAGAGAATTCACATTTAAAGTTTAAATTAGGTGTAGAGTGAAGTTATCTATCTATATATATAAAGTGAGAAGACAAAAAAGGTGAAATATTCAAAATACCAAAAAATGCCCTTCCCTAGTTAAGAATTCCAGAACAAAACAATTTAATTAACAAGGGTAAAATAATAAAACTAGGTCATTTTGAAAATTTCAAACAAATAACTACTTGATAAAATTAATATTACTATATTTGACCATTAAAAAAAAACTAATACATAAACATAATAAATAAATAAAGTCAATTAGTAGGCGTGTGCTAAGGGGCTAGTATGGCGGAGAAAAATATGAAAGGTGCATAGACCAAGGCGGGAAGGTTACACAGGACAAAGTTGTGTGGTGGTTAGTTTGTCCTCCGCCTTTTCCTCCGCTTCTCACTGGTAGAGTAGTGGTGTTGTGCCCTCACAAGTATTGTAAAAATAGGAAATTCTGCTTTTTCTTAAATTTCATTTGTGCAAAAATGTTATCTCTACTAATTAATGAAATATTTTTTGTCAATCAAAAGAGGATGAAAAGACAAATTAGTCTTCTATCACACAAAAAAAATGATGGACAATAATGTAATTTCACAAGTTCAAATTTTATTGTTTTTTATTGAAGCTTCACCTACAGGTGATGTTAAAATACCTTCAATATTAAAAAAAAATCAAAAACAAAAACCTCTCACCCCCCCCCACGTTCTCTCTCTCCCTCTCTCCTTCTCATTTTCTAAAAAAATGTATTCATATACACAAAGTGTGTAGGCAAATGCTAGTATGTTATTATCTTAAACGAAATTTAAGTGGAATTTCACCGAAATTATGTATGAACAAAGATGGGTTGTTTTACTCTCAGACTATGGCTTAAACGAAATGAGCTACTAATTAAGTAATGTGGTTGGGTTCGGTTTGAGCTAAAATTACTGGTTTGATGTAGGTGGTTTAGCCTAAACTCAATACTATTCGCGGGGTGTATTCAATTAGGATTTTAAGAGATTTTAATTATTTTAATAAATCTAGTGGTATTCAATCATGATTTTAAGTGATTATCTGAAATTCTAGATGTATTCAATTATAATTTTAAGATAGTTTATTAAAATCCTTAGAAATCCAGGGGTATTCAATTAAGATTTTAAAGAAGTTTATAACATTCTAGGTATATTCAATTAGAAATTGATTTTAAAGAATTTGAGAAAGTTGATGAATTAGAGGGAATTGGATAGATTTCGTAGTATATTTTAAGCATTCACAAATCTCACATCTTCCCATAAGATTTCGAGGGAATTGAATCAAAATTTTATATGGAATCTCTACAAATCAATTAAACTCCACAAAAATCTATGGATTTATAAATCAATTAAAATCTCTCACATTCTCAATTGAATACACCCCCCTTCAATTCTCATTCTTATACTATGTTTGGATGAAGAAATTTAATATTAATAAGGATTTTAAAACGACAGAAATTGAAACGATGAGATTATATTTTTTAGAATTTATGAATTTTCTTATTTGGTTAACCTAAAAAAACAATAAAATTGAATACAGAATTTGTTATTTTTAAACTCTCAATAATAGAAATTGGGAAATGACACCTATTTACATGGAATTTAAACTTAGGAATTGGAGGTCCCAAATTCCAAGTTTTTTTTCATGCGGAAATTGGTGCATGTATATATATAAATTATGATTTTATTCAAATTCAAGCCTATTTCCTTTATCCAAACATAATATTAGTGATTTACATCAACTATTGTACAAAGTTATACATTTTCTTAGTGTTTCATTTTTCAAAAATTTATTGTGTTAGCACATTGTCAAATCTAATAGTCATGTGCACTAAAAGACTACAATTGTACATTTTCCTTTTGGTGAGCAAGGCGGCTAAGCTCAAAAGTCCTTTTTGATCTTTTAAAATCTGTCTCGCTTAAAAAAAAATCCGTTAAAATCTTCTAAAATCCCAATTGATTACAATTCTTTAGTCAGGTTTAGAAAGGTGAGTAAAGGTTCTCAAAACTAACATTAAGGGGGTGTATTCAATTGAGAATTTGAGAGACTTTAATAGATTTATAAATCTGTGGATTTTTATGTAGTTTAATTGATTTGTAGAGATTTCATATAAAATTTTGATTCAATTCCCTCAAAATTTCATAGGAAGAGGTGAGATTTGTGGATGCTTAAAATACACTACAAAATCTCTCTAATTCCCTCTAATTCCTTAACACTATGTTTGCATGAAGAAATTTAAGATTACTAAGGAATTTCAAAATGACGGAAATTGAAATAACAAGATTTTATTTTCTAGGATTTGTAAATTTTCTTGTTTGGTTAACCTAAAAGAACAATGGAATTTAATACGAAATTTAATACGAAATTTGTTATTTTTTAACTCTGAATCATAGAAATTGGGAAATGAAACTTATTTACATGGAATTTGAACTTGGGAATTGGAGGTCCCAAATGTCAAGTTTTTTTTCCACGCGGAAATTCTAAATTTCTATATTTATGAATCCAAACAAGAGAATTGGTGCATGTCAATTTATAAATTTTGACTTTTACCAAAATTTCAAGTTTATTTTCTTCATCCAAACATAGTGTAACTTTCTCAAATTCTTTAAAATCAATTTCTAATTGAATACACCTGAAATGTTATAAACTTCTTTAAAATCCTAATTGAATACACTCGGATTTCTAAGGATTTTAATAAATTATCTTAAAATTCTAATTGAATACATCTTGAATTTTAGAGAATCACTTAAAATCCTGATTGAATACATCTAGATTCATTAAAAGAATTAAAATCCCTCAAAATCCCAATTGAATACAGCTCCCTGACAATGCCATGCGGAAGGAAGCAACCTCAAAGAAAGAATGACGATCGCTGGCCTTTAAGTTTAACTATCGAGGTGAATAATCATTTCCCTGTTCATCGATTTCTTTGTCATTCGTTAGAACACCTGCATGATCGATGTTGATGCCTCGATCAACATTCATCACTGTCATTCATCCGCAGGGTGTGAACTATTTGCGCCATAGATATTACTGCAGGAGGATAAAAGTTATGCGTGCTAATGACTTTTGTCCCTCCCGAAAGAAAAGAAAAGAAAAACATGAATATAAGTAGTAAAGGAGAAGAAAGATGAGAAAAAGAAGGGAAGAATTGAAAATGGTAAGCATGATCTACAGAATAAAACGCAATAAAACTCGCAGCATAACTGAATTCAGAACAACATAGGATTTTGTCAAGTCGAAGCAATATTAACATGTATAGTCCTTGAAACATTTACAGAGATTTGTAGGAACAGTTATCTAACACTGCATAAGCCCTCCATCAGTAGCTGTTCTTATAATTACATTTGCAATGGGTGCCAATGCCATGCACCCCAAGTTAGAAAGTTTTTTTTTTCGAACCAAAAAATTCTTGATATTAGTTTGTAATTCCTTGATTGTGTTATTGGTATTAGATCTGCACGTTTCCACCACCGAAATTGGCACCATTTGGAGGATTGATTAGTACCCAGAGCAAAGATGTTGTGATTGCAAGCAGCCCTGCCCAGACATAGATGATCGTAGGTATCCTTCCTCTCCTTCCCATCAAGCCCTTCATAAATGGGTACATGTGAACCAACACCCAAAAACTAAAGAATAGTCCTCCGAGTAGCCTATTCCATTGCGGTATCACTGCGTATAAGGTCCTTGAGATTCCAATCACAATTGCAATAATGTTGACAATTATGATTGTGAGAGGCATTAGGAAGAGACTTGTCCATTTTACAACGTAAAGGTCTGCATAAATGTCTTCTTCGTCCTCAGCAGTAGACTTGGTGGTTAAGGTGAAGCTAATTTCGATCCCAGCTACGACTTTGAGGAGACCCTGGATGACAGCTACAAGGTGAGCACTGGTTCCACCGATGACCCAAAACTGCTCGTTACGCCACCATTCCTCAAGACCGATGCCAGACCATCTGACTTCAAGTAGGGAGAGGAGACACAGACAGACAGTGATGGTAAGGAGGTAGACAAGGAAGGCGACATTTAGGCCTGCAACTATGAATTGACCTGTGAAGAGGCAGAGTGCTGGGAGGAAACAGTAAACAACCAGAAAGATTGAGGTGAAGGGATAAATGCCGACATTGAGGTATGCAATACGCTGTAGAAACTTGAGGCGCCGGCATGCAAGAAATGCATTGTTCCTAGAGTAGAAGATTTCCACAGAACCAGTGGCCCATCGGAGTACCTGGTGCAATCTGTCCGTAAGGTTGATAGGTGCTGTGCCACGGAATGCATCACGCTTTGTGAGACAATACACTGACCGCCATCCACGATTGTGCATTCTGTAACCTGTCACAACATCCTCTGTCACAGATCCGTAGATCCAACCTATTCTGTCTCCCCATTCGGTGTTGTCCTCATACCTGTGTGTGCACGTGTGTATGCGTTCAAACGCCCGCAAACACCAATGAATTAGTAAATCTATTGACTGAATTGCGGTGTTGACTCATGCTGTCTAAAAATGTGCTTCTTTTAGCATGATTTTTTTATGTTACTTACCAGCAGGAAATGACAGCAACTGCTTCGGCAACAGTGGGAGCATCGAGTGGCTGACGTGGTTCAAGCAGCGCGCCAGGAGGGCGGCCATTCTTGACAGACATGTGATCCGCAAGAGGACGTCCTTGAAACTCAGTGACAGCTATGGAATCTGTGAACATTTGTGAATTTCCGAACTTCTTTGGAAGGCCTAAGTCCGGGTGATCTGCCAGAGGTTGTTTTTCTGAGTTCGCTTGGTCTGGATCAGACAGTAACTGTTCCTCCATCTCATGGTAATTTGGAGCTCGGGCCTTGATCGTCCCAAACATTCCTAAATACTCATTTGCCCTCGGCGGGTGGAACCCGTACAGTGCAAAACGCCTGAACATGCACCCAGTTCCAACATACACTGGGCCTTGGAGACCGTCCAGGGCTCTCATATTTCCTGTATATTGATTTACAATTAAATCCAAGAACTTTCATCACTTTCAGTTTCACATTAGCTATCAAATTCAATTAATTAGTCAAAGCGCCCTGATCAAACATATAAAGATTACCATCAAAGAAGACTGTATTATGATTTGCATAACGGTCAGATGGGTCGATCCCTTCAAATCTCTGAGGAAACTGTATGTAGCATATCCGGTCTCCACCACGGTCCATCATGAAGCACATTCCCTCCCTTATAGCTAGAGAGTTATAGATATAATGGTCACAATCCAAATTAAGCATGAATGGACCGTTGGACAATATTGCTGATGCTCGGACCATGGCATTCATGGCTCCTGCCTTCTTGTTGTGGTCGTATCCAGGTCGCTTCTCTCGCGACACATAAACAAACATTGGGATTCGAATGTCCACCCCTGTGAAGTCTAATTTTTTCTCATCCGGAAAACCCATTACAGGATCCATGTCTGGGACCTTACTCATTACCTGTATATATGTTTGGGATTAAAGTTTTGAACGCACTCAAATATGAAACAGATAGAAAAAAAAACAAGTCTTACAACATTTGAGATTCAAACTTTCCGGACTTGCTTTAGTGCCTCTAGCATCACTCCTTACGACAACACCAACATATTATTAGCTAGTTAATATGTACATACGTATCAATCACCTGTAAGATCCCAGCATGGTCTCCCTTTTTATGATCAGCGCAAGGTTCGAGCCACGTCCCCGGCCAGTGTGTTCCGTCAGCCATCCACGTTGCCTTTGTGATGTTCGTTGCCTCCTCTTCCACTGGCTCTGCTCCACCTCCACCAGCGCTTCTTTCCTTGGTAAGCTTCCTTTCCTTCATGTTCTCTCTGGAGTTATACATTTCACTTCGTTTGCGAATTACATCAGGAAGACCATTGATCCTAACCTTAAATTCATCATATTCTCTCTTGATCCATCTCCGATCCTTGACAAAATCAGGCCGCTTCTTGTTCTTGGTAGGGTCAACTTTGCTGCTAAAGTAACTGTCTGGATTCCTAGGCTCAATATTGTGTTTTCGGCAAAAGGGGACCCAAACCTGCAGTGCACATGTATATATTTAGACGACGTATAGGTACGTGTATAATTCTTCTAGATCTGAATTTTTTTATGTTACAGATCAATTGGTTTGTCTAAGTTCATTATAGTAAGCCAGTTACTTCTTCGACCGAAAAAAAAAAAACCAATTACCTCAGCAAAGTTAACAGCCTCAGCCATGGCCTCAAAGGTGAGAATGGCACCACCATCATCTGAAATGTAAGCCGAAAGCTTTTCCACAGGGTATTGGGCGGCAAAGATAGAGAGGAGGGTATTGGCAGTGACAAGAGGCGGTTCCTTTTCAGGATCGGCGGTGGAGATAAAGACATCAACACCGGGGAGGTCAGACCGCCCAGTAGGGTTGGTTGCAGAAGGTTGCTCAAACTTGTCATGTAGGGCAGCTAAGTCCGTGGCACGATTTATGGGGTTCAGCTTGGGAAGTATGTCTAAAATCCATGAAAATGCAAACCAAATCTCACAGACTATGGAGATTCCCCATAGCCACATTGCATCCGGGTTTGGATTCCTCACTCGCCATATTATAAAAAAAAACAGTACCACCAAACGGATAACCACTAGTAACCTGCATAATGTATACATGTATATATGTTATTGATTGAATGGCCTTTTCTTTTCCTTGCCCTTGTGCTTTGATGAAAATCCTTCTTTCACCATATGAACTTGAAACTGTTGACTTTCTTTTCCTGCTTTTATTTCGTGTCCCAAGTTACTCCATTCTATCCAATTGGTGAAGAAAATTTCTAACTTGGCTGTTGTGGAAGTAGAGCCAAAACAAACAAAATGGCAAGTTTCGAGCAAAATGTTTAGTTCCACATAAGCTAAGTAAACGATTTTCCAACCAGCTTATGGAATGGGTTAACATGGCACGAAACGAAAGCACAAAAAGCCTAATGTAATTGTTAATTAAGAAGCTCACTGGATGTAAATTCTTCTTTTTTGTATCAATAAAATTCTTTCGTACCGCCGAGATTCTAACAAAAAAAGTCAGTACCTGTAAGGGCTAAGAATAGCAGGAGGAACCTTAACCTTCCTGGTGAGTGGTTTCCATGGCTTGTCAATAAAATCCTGCATGCTCATTTCTATTTCCGGACCATACTTGTTCTCTTGCTGATCTGACCAATATGCGTTTCCAATCCCATACGTTCCTTTCGACTCAAACAACCAACGGTTGTGATCAAAGTCCCCAGTTTGGCTTCTCAATAGTATTGATTTGTTATTTGATGATTTCATCACCGACATTCTCCTGTCCATCTTTGCGGCCTCACTGTCGCCACCGCCACCATCACCACCCCCTCGCCTAGTCTCCGCCCCAAACCTTGATGGTCCATATGGCCCTGGACCATCATGCTTGGGATCCGAGGTTGTTCCTGCACTGGACGACCCACCTGGCTGGTTGTCCGGTGTGGGAGGCATCATCACGGTGTAGTTGATGTAGTCATTTTCGCCTGAGAACTCCCCGCTCATGTCCAAATCATCGTCCCGGGACAAGCTCATCACACGTCCGCTGGACGTTCGGCGAGCAAACTTGACACCCTTCGGTCCTTGGCCGGGAGATGACGATGTTGATTTCTTTGATGAATTTGATGAGGTTGCCATATCTGTATCTCCTGATGATGTCTATGCTTTTCCTAATGTAATTGTGCTAGAAAGCCCTAATGATCGATTATTCCATGCCTAAATAACTAGAACATGTAATTGCGCGTGTTGCTTGTTACGCACGCAAAGATGAGAATTTGGAATTCCGTGTATAAAAAGAGAGGGAGGAGGTGGAAACATGAAATTCTGGGACTCAGGAGGTGGAGCAATTGGGATCGACGTTGAAAGTTCAATCAGCGGTTGAAGGAGAGGCCAAATATGGTAATGGCTGATAAGTTGAATGGTCCGAAATTGCTTCTCTATTTTTAGGTTTGGCTGCAGCGGATCTCACTCCCTTGTTTCAATCTGTCTCATTCATATTTTATCTTCGTAATGGATAGATGGACATTGTTTGAGCTTTGTGAATTGGTGGTTGCAGTTTTGTACGCTACACCAGTAGTGGTACTGAATCAATGTCAATCAAGCTTGCATGTTGGGTTTAAATAAGTTGCAGCAATTTAATTGAATTTTGTTGTCCCAGTTTGTATATAATCTTATTTCTCGATTTTAATTGAGAGTTTGTAGTTTTAAACCTTTGCAGCAATATCTATATTATTACTACCCGTTATTGATTGATTTCACACGCTCTATAATTAGTTCGAAGTTGGCGTGAATTGACATTTAATTTTGTATTTACACACACGTGTCCAGGGATGAAACCAGAGATTTGTATGGATAAAGACATCCTCAAACAACAAAGTCATAAATTAACAGGCCAAAGAATTTACTAAACAAAATACTTATATATTAATCCATAAGATTTTTCATACAACATATTATAGTATACTCGACGTGTATTTTTCATGTTTTGAAAGCGTTGCATAGCAACTTCATTACCAATAATATCAAATATCTCACTCTATAAAAATAATCATGTTATCATTCATCTATTGATCACCAATCCGATATCTCGATCGATTCTTCAGAAATTTCACGACTAAGAATGCTCTTTCAGAGTTAGCAATTGCAACTGAAAGAGTTAACGCTAATGTCAAACCAATAATACACCTTCTTAATGGCACAAACATTTACATTTTTTCCAACAAAAAAAATTTAAGTGAGGGCATCCAGCCCCCTGGCCCAAGGTAGCTTCGTCCTTGCTTGTGTCATGTTTGCCAGAATGTCATGTGCTTTGTTTGTAAGTACTATTTGCTTGATCTAGTTTTCGGGATTTAACATTTTAGAGTCTTGATTTGTGCAATTAAGTTTTATTACCTTTTTTTATTGTAACACAATTGTAATCCTATATGTATCTCCTTACGAAGCAGAATACAGAGATCTTGATTCCAAAAATCATACACTCTTAGGCCTAGGATCAATACCTTCCACAATGAGGCCGCTCTTAGGTATGTCACTACTAGTTTCCCTTAGACTACATTCTACTGTTGCATTATCTCCTCCTCCATTGAAGAATTCGCCCATCTCAATCTCTGTCCACCGGTCTCTTCCACGCCGCCGAGCATTTCGAGGCATATCTTCTAGAGGGTCTAGGATCATGCTATGATCCTCTGCAACTCCTCTTTGTTTGTAAACGATATGCAACGTAATCGGCGTTCCTTCAAACCCCCATTTGGATTCTTCGGGGAGCTTATAGACAAGGTAAGCTAAGCTGTATACGTCGTTCGTGGGGATAACTTTTTCGTCTCTATGCATCCCTTGATCTCAAGCCACCATACAAGTTTCAGCTCAGCCACTTGGGAGAACCTGTAATGATCCAGAATGTGTTATATACATCATAACTCAATTTGCATAGTCAAATTAGTATTTACATAACTAATTAATTAAAGTTAAATTACTATGCCCTCGTCGAGGACGACAGGGTTTCGGCATAGTAATCTGAAGGCAAGAAACGCTCCCTAAGGACGTCAGATAGGGCAGCCGATCGGAATGTAGAGCAGACGAGGGACGACCGGCATGCATCTTTAGGGGACGTGAGGGAAAGAAAATGTGAGATGCACTCCCACGGTAATGACTCTAATCCCGGCATTATGTTTGTTTGTCCTGATTGGTAACTAACAGCTAGCTAGATATACATTTGAATTTTGAACGAATGTAATTTATTCGTCTTTTTTATGTATGTAAAAAATTGCACAATGGCTCATCCGCGTTGCGGTTAATTAGCATTGTGTTTCGCGTTTATTGATTTACAAAAAGGAAGTTACACTTGGCCAATCTAATGCCCTTTTGGTCAAATAATAGTTCATCGTACGCTATATAATAATAATCCAGTTATCAAATGGAAACAAATCTTTTAACAAATTAGACATTTTTTTATAGGTAAACTAATGAAAATGGTTTAAAAACTTTGAGTTTTAGCGATAAGGACAAAATAAAAGGTAAAGTACATAGTACCAAGATTGACTTTTTAGTGTAAAAATGTGATTCTTCGTTAAAATGAATAGTATCGAGAGCTTTTCGTTAAAGTTCCTTTTTATTATTATTATTAAACTTTTGGACCTCTCTTCGTCAGAGATGGCCAAGAGACATAAGCAGCCTCCCTGGGGCATTTTATCAAGCATAACCCATCGATTCCCACCGAGTCTGACTCACCACCCACCAAACATAAAAAATCATGTCGAAACGACATTGGGCCTAATCCGGCCTAGCCACATTACAAGTCCACTTAGAGCAACTCCACTGGTGTGGATAGCCCGATGGACCAGCAAGGATTTAATTCAATTGCCTCCCTATCCCAACTCCAGCTCATGAGGGCGATTGATTGAGGTGGGGCCGGAGTGAGAGGCTCGGCTCAAATCGTTGGCCCGAGAGTCTGAGGCCTATGTGATGCTTGGCTGACATCAACCACGTTTTAAAATTAATAAAAAAATATTAATAAAAATGTAAAAAATTAAAAAAAAATCCGAACAAAAATTAAAAATTAAAAAAAATGATTTAATTTTTCTATAAATATGTTATCATTATCTTCCAACTTACACTATAATTTTATATTTTTTCAAATACTTTGTGTTGTAATTTCTTATTTAATAACATGTGGTACAACGAGACCGATTAAAAATCATATCCGAAATTACAAATAAAATTATTTTTTATTTTTTATAAAATACTAGGGTAAAAGACTATTTACTACCATCATGTTTCGTGGTTTTCAACATTTAGTACATCAAGTTTTTTTCGTCTCAGAGTCATACCTAAAGTATAAATTTTGAGACAGTCTCATACATCCGTTAGTCAAACTATTAAATCTGTCATTAATTGTGACGTAGCACCCATGTGGACAATGACTGGGCGCCACGTGTCATCCATGTTTTTTTTTTTTTCCTTCTTTTTCTTCTTCCTTCTTCTGGGGTTCGGTTCTTTTTTTTATTTTTATTCTTTTTCTTCTTCCTCCTCCTCCTTCTTCCTCTGGGTTGCAGGGGTTGGGGTTGGGGTTGGGTTTGGGAGGGGGGGGAGGGGGACGAACTGGGTCCTTTTTTTTTTTCTTCTTCTTCTTTTTCTTCCTCCGAATTTGGGTTGTAGATTCGGTTTTTTTTTCCCTTCTTCCTCCTTCTTCTTCTTCTTCTTCTTCTTCTTCTTCTTTTTCAGATTCAGTTTTTTTTTTCTTCTCCTTCCTTCTCCTTCCTTCTTCTTCCTTCCCCTTCTTCTTCTTCCTCCGAATCTGGGTTGCATATTCGGTTTTTTTTCTTCTTCTTCCTCCGAATCTGCAACTTTTTTTGTTTTTTCTTCTTCCTCCTTCTCCTTCTTCCTTCCTCCTTCTTCCTTCTCATTCTTCTCCTTCTTCCTCCTTCTTCCTTCTTCTTCCTTTTTTTTTCTTTTTCCTCCTTCTTCCTCCTTCTTCCTTCTCCTTCCTCCTTCTTCCTTATCCTTCCTCCTTCTTCTTTTTTCCTTCCTCTTATTCTTATTCTTCTTCTTCCTCCGAATCTGGGTTGCAGACCTAGATTCGGTTTTTTTTTCTTTTTTTTTTCTTTTTCTTCTTCCTCCTTCTTCTTCCTCCTTCTTCTTCTTCTTCTTCTTCTTCTTCTTCTTCTTCTTCTTCTTCTTCTTCTTCTTCTTCTTCTTCTTCTTCTTCTTCTTCTTCTTCTTCTTCTTCTTCTTCTTCTTCTTCTTCTTCTTCTTCTTCTTCTTCTTCTTCTTCTTCTTCTTCTTCTTCTTCTTCTTCTTCTTCCTCCGAATCTGCAACTTTTTTTTTCTTCTTCCTCATTCTTCTCCTTCTTCCTTCCCCTTCTTCCTTCTTCTTCCTTCTCATTCTTCTTCTTCTTCTTCTTCCTTCGAATTCCGAATCTGCAACTTTTTTTTTCTTCTTCCTCTTTCTTCTCCTTATTCCTTCCTCCTTCTTCCTTCCCCTTCTTCCTTCTTCCCCTTCTTCCTTCTTATTCCTTCTCTTATTCTTCTTATTCTTCTTCCTTCGAATCTGGGGAAAATGTTGGTTTTTTTTTTTTTCTTCTTCTTCTTTCGAATATGTTCCTTCTCTTTCTTCTTCTTCCTTCGAATCTGAGGAAGATGTCAGTTTTTTTTTTCTTCTTCCTCCTGCTTCCTTCTCCTTCCTCCCTTCTTCCTTCTTCTTCTTCTTCTTCTTCTTCCTTCTCTTCTTCTTCCTCCTTATCTCCTTTCAACCCTTTAAGCGAAATGTGGCAAAAGAAAGAAAAATCCATGGACTAACCCCATCGTCTCCACCCCGTAGGAACTACGAAATCACCCCAAGGAAGCTTTCGGCATCCAGGGGTCGTGGACCGACCGTAGAACCCTGTTCAATAAGTGGACCGCATTAGCTGTCCGCTTTCAGGTTGGGTAGTAAGGGTCGAAGAATGGCAATCACTCATTCTTAAAACCAGCATTCTTTAAAACCAAAGAGTCGGGTGGAAAAGCCTTCTTCCTTCTTCCTTCTTCTTCATTCTTCCTCCTTCTTCTTCTTCTTCTTCTTCTTCTTCTTCTTCTTCTTTTCTTCTCTTTCTTCTTCTTCTTCTTCTTCTTCTTCTTCTTCTTCTTCTTCTTCTTCTTCTTCTTCTTCTTTCTTCTTCTTCTTCTTCTTCTTCTTCTTCTTCTTCTTCTTCTTCTTCTTCTTCTTCTTCTTCTTCTTCTTCTTCTTCTTCTTCTTCTTCTTCTTCTTCTTCCTTCGAATCTGGGGAAGATGTCGGTTTTCTTCTTCTTCTTCTTCCGAATCTATTCCTTCTCCTTCTTCTTCTTCTTTCAAATCTGGGGAAGATGTCAGTTTTTTTTTTCTTCTTCCTCCTTCTTCCTTCTCCTTCCTCCTTCTTCCTTCCTCTTCTTCTTCTTCTTCTTCTTCCTTCGAATATGGGGAAGATGTCGGTTTTTTTTTCTTCTTCATCCTTCTCCTTCTTCCTTCCTCATTCTTCCTTCCACTTCTTCTCCTTCTTCTTCTTCTTCCTTCGAATCTGGGGAAGATGTCGGTTTTCTTCTTCTTCCGAATCTATTCCTTCTCCTTCTTCTTCTTCTTTCAAATCTGGGGAAGATGTCAGTTTTTTTTTTCTTCTTCCTCCTTCTTCCTTCTCATTCCTCCTTCTTCCTTCCTCTTCTTCTTCTTCTTCTTCTTCCTTCGAATATGGGGAAGATGTCGGTTTTTTTTTCTTCTTCATCCTTCTCCTTCTTCCTTCCTCATTCTTCCTTCCACTTCTTCTCCTTTTTCTTCCTCTCGGGAAGATAAAGGTTTATTTATTTATTTAATATATATATTTTATTTATTTATTTATTTTATAAATAATTTATTTTTAATTCCACGTGGGTGATATGTCCCAAAATTTACACTTTAGGTATGATTATGAGATGAAAAAAAATTGATGTACTAAATGTTGAAAACCACGAAATATAAGAGTAGTAAACAATCTTTTACCTAAAATACTAATATTTTATTACCTATTATCACAGTTATTCAGTTTAAAAGTGGATATGCAAAATATAATTACGGTTTATTAATTAAATAGTAAGTTGCCTAGGACCTTCCTCACGCTGGAGTTGCTCTTAGGGTTTCAATTGTTGTGGGAGCTGACTTTCTCATGCGCTGCCAGAACAAGAACAAACCATAGAGCACCGATTCCCACCGATTCCCACCGAGTCCGACTCACCACCCACCAAACACATCAAAAATCTTACATGGCCGATTCAGCTTCTAAAACCCTAGAAGACCAACCTCCAAATCAGTCCTCAAACCCCCAAATGGATACGAAAACCGTAGAAGAAGAAGAGGAGAAGTCCCAGCAAGAAGAAGTGAAATCGGAAAACGCGTCAAAAGCAGAAGGGGAAGCGGCGGCGGAGGATGAGGAAGAGGAGGAGGAGGCGGGAGAGTGTGGGTTCTGCTTGTTCATGAAAGGCGGCGGGTGCAAAGAGAGCTTCACGGCGTGGGAAGAATGCATCGAAGAGGCTGAGAAGAACAAGGAGGATATTGTGGAGAAATGCTTCGAGATCACTTCGGTTTTGAAGGAATGTATGATGGCTCACTCCGATTACTACGAGCCCATACTCAAGGCCGAGAAGGCGGCCGAGGCAGAGGCTGTTAAGGAATTGGAGAAGGAAAAGGCTGCTGAGAGCTCCGAACAACGAAATGCCGCCGTCGCCTCGGAGAATTCCCAGCAGCATTCCGGTTCTAGCGGCAAGCAAGACGCATTGCCCGGTTAGGTGATTGCTGATTGCTAGCATGGTCAGTGATTGAGATTTTTGTTTTTATTGCGGAAATAATTAGTGGCAAACTGGTGTGGCAATTGAGAGGCCTGAAAATCAAACTTATAACACTGTCTGTTATCACAACAATTTTTACTTGATAAAACCAATAACAATCATATTTTCATTCTTGTTGTTTCTTCTGTTGAATTTCTTGCTGTTTGTTATGAATGCAGTGCTCTGTTTTCGTGTGTATGGATTCTGGAGTATTGTTACTTAATTCGCTATTCTCTCTTCGATGACTTGATATCTTTAGATGCATATGGAGAATTATCTTATTTCTGGTTATTGCTGATCGTATGGCCTCTAGCTGGATTTGAGAGTACATGAACGGCTATTACGCATGTATAGTAGGGTTTTGTGGTTTAGTCATTTTGGTGCGATTAGTTTGAGCTATCGTACTTATGTGCGCTACAGATACTATTGATTATCAAATTATCAAATGGTTCCCCAGAATGTGGGTTTTTAAGATATCGAGAACATATTGAAGAGGAGTTGTCTTTCAAAAGTGTATCGTAAGTGAGTGTATAGATGTGATGAGTGACATTTTACACCGTGAAACAGTTTATGCAGGCTGCGGTTTGCATAGATTGCATCTTGATACTGGGAAAAATTGTGTCAAGTATGAATCTGTTTTCTTGTGTAATGAGATGGTGAACATTTGGATCGATCATTGCTTCAATGTAAAGCATTAGAATTGTAATGTTAAGTTAAAGGTGATGGGTGAAGGGATTGGTTATGGTACCTACATCTGTTATCGTAGTGCCATAGTGATTAGTGTGTTTGAACATGAATATGATATGTTGTTTGCCTTTTGTTGAGGATGAACGATGAAAATTTAAATGCGAGTCATCGAGGTTGGTGAGATAATATGGTGCTGCTGCTGCACCCCAACAATTGCTTATAATTTGGTTTGAAGCTGATGGATTGGATATGGTTTTCATCGTTACCAGTCCGACTGCTTGATTCATAGCATGTTCATCTGTTATCTGCACTCTTCATCTGTACGATCTACTTTCCGGTACATTTGTCAGATCATTAGAAAGAAGAAGTAATGTGGCATCTGGTGAGGTGTCATTCCTAATGAATCTGTGAACACGGAAAATTCCTGAAACGAAAGAGACAAGAACGAACGTGCACAAACAAATATTTGTATTTGATGATTTTGGGTTACAATCTCTCTCTATTTTGATCCTCTGATTCGATCTCCGTAAGGTGTTGATTTGTGGGATGTGCGATTGATCCAAGGGCCGTCGAGGCTTGATCTTGGATGAACGAGGATGAACGGATCTTCGAGGGCTTTTGAGCTTGATCTTGAAGAATGGTGATTGACGGATCTTCAAGGGCTTTTGGGCTTGATCTTGAAGAACAGTGATGAACGGATTTCCGAGGGCTTTTGGGCTTGAACTCGAAGAACAGTGACGAACGGATCTTCGAGAGCTTTTGGGCTTGAACGGATCTTCGAGGGCTTTTGGGCTTGATCTCGAAGAATAGTGATGAACGATGAACGCTTTCTTCAAGGGTCGTCGGGGCTTGGGCTTGATGAACAGCGAATGAGCGGATTTGTTGATGTTGTCGATCCAAAGGGGCCGTTGGGGCTTGATCCTTGAGGATGAACAGTTGATGAACGATGAACGCTTTCTTCAAGAGGCCGTTGAGGCTTGGGCTTTGAAGGTGGATGATTGTTGATCCAAGGGCCGTCGGGCTGATCTTGGAAGAACGATGAACGAAGAACGCTTTCTTGATTCTTCGGGAACCTGGATGCTTGAGAGCTTCGGAGTTTCAGAGCTTCAGAGCTTCAAGAGTTTTTGCCTAATGATTTTTTTGGTCCCTTAAATGAATGAAATGGGCTTGTATTTATAGAATTTTCCAAGCCTAATTTTGAATATATATATCCCAGATGAAATAAGTCGTTTCTGCCAGGTGTTGACACGTGTCCTATTTGATGATTTTTCCAACTCATTTCAATTTTCGTTGAGTCACACGCTACGTGTAAAATTTATGTAATACATGAGCGTTGACACTTTGATTTATCGGTCAATATTTATTTACGAAATTTCGATGTCTACAAATGCCCCCACTTCAAGGCACGTCGTATACATGTGCTTGTCACGTGTAGGAGATGCGTTTTGAAGTCCCTTACTGTAGATGTCGATCCAAGGGCCGTCGAGGCTTGATCTTGAATTGGGCTGGAGATTTCTTCAAGGGCCGTTGAGGCTTGATCTTGAATTGGGCTTGAGATTTCTTCAAGGGCCGTCGGGGCTTGATCTTGGATTGGTGTTTGAAATTTCTTCAAGGGCCGTCGAGGCTTGATCTTGAAGGTTGAAATTGGACCACAAGGAGCTTCATGTGGTAAATGATCTTTGGCTTTGGTAGTGGGTGAATCGACACGTATTTTGTTGCGCTTTGTTGACTTTCCACAGCTTTGATCTTGAACTGGGTTGAAGGATCTTCTGGATTCCTCCAATTGTTGATTTTCCACAGCTTATTCTTGAACTAGGTTTTGATTCAAGGGTGGTAGACACTTAATCTTGAATCGGACTTGTGATTTCCTCAAGGGCCGTCGAGGCTTGATCTTGAATTTGGTTGGAAACTTCTTCAAGGGCCGTTAGGGCTTGATTCTTGAAGGTTGACTCGAACACATGGCAAGCAGGCACGAGGTGAAGGTGACGACTTGTTGCTCTGTTCAATCTTTCTAATTCACACCTGAGCAGTTTGGTCAACGGTATGATCTTCAAGATTGATGGGCTTTTCTTCCAGTTGGTGACTTGATCTTTAAGGATTTGATTCAAGGGTGGTGAATCGGCACGTGCAGCCTACAACGCCTAGTAAGTCGACCCAAGAATTTGAGGGTCAAAACGAATTCACCGTCAGAGTGATTGCAATTTTGATGATATGAGATACTCTTGCTTTTGAAGAAGTAGCGGATGAATCGGCACGTGCTTGGTTGCACTTGTCTCCACATGCTTCAAGGTATCATCTTCATTTCCTTTATCTGTTCCTCAGGCAGATGTGGCATCTTCTCGAGTTCTTCATCTCAGACTCTTTCCGCCGAGTTGACTGAGCATGCTGCATTCTTCTCTGCTTGTTTCTTCAGGCAGATATGGCAGCTTCTCGAGTTCTTCAGCTCGGACTCCTTCTCCTGAGTTGACTGTGCAGACTGCATTCTTCTCTGCTTGTTCCTTCTGCACCTTGTCTCCACATGCTGCAAGGTATCATTTTCACTTGCCTTATCTGTTCTCCAGGCAGATGGGGCAACTTCTTTGGAAGTACAGCAGCAGTGGGAAACGAGTACTCGAGAGCAGTGCTAGGTAGGCAATCAGGGAAGGGTTCCAAGCAGTCGGTTCCTTACCCGAGTTTGAGTGGAAGTTCCGGCATATTGTTTTCTTTATCCTTGTCTTTGTAGGTAAGAACAAGGACAAAGGAAAGGACAGGGAGAACGCATGATATGAGATACTCTTGCTTTCTACCCTGGTGATATGAGATACTTTTGCTTTGGAGTCATTGGCTTGCAGAGGTACCCCAAGGAATAAGGAACACTGAATGACTCGAGAGGTTTCGTTGGGAAAGCATTTTTGGAGATGAAGAAAGGCTCTGTATATGTCTGCCTTGCTATGGAAGGTGAAGGTGGACAGTTATAGGAGGTCCCTTAATACCTGTAGAGGTATTATTCTTTTTCACTCGTGTCGGCAACTAACGCGTGATTGAACAGTAAACTTCACGTGCTTTCTCCTTCACTGAAAATCTTTTGACAAATTGCCCGTGATTTGCGCAAAGTTGAGTGTGCATATGACAGGTGATGACGCGGCTGAAAAAGACTGGCGCCTCTTCGATATCTGGGATCGGCGCTTCGACAAATTACCCGTGATTTCCGCAAAGCTGAGTTTGTGCGTGACGGGTGCTGACGAGGCTGAAAAAGACTAGCGCCTCTTCGATATCTGGGATTGGCGCTTTAACAAATTGCCCGTGATTTCCGCAAAGCTGAGTTTGCATGTGACGGGTGCTAACGCGTCTGGAAAAGCAAGATGCTTCTCCGATTTCTAAGCTTGCCTCTTCGATTTTTGAATCGGCATTTTCGAACTCTGAGCTCACCTCTTCGATCTCTGAAATGCCGTCGAGTGTTGATTTTATAGAGGCACGCAGTTCGTTTCAAAGCACACTTGACTTCGCTTGTGAAAACTCCCCTCTTGTACTTCTAAGATCTTGATTTGTCCGATCTCTTCTTCCTTCAACACTTTGAAAATGTCTGGACCCTCCGACCGTCGTTTTGACTTGAATCTTGGTGAAGAGTCAGTCCCGCCTTCTCCAGACAACATATGGCGCCCATCCTTCATATCCCCTACTGGTCCTCTTACCGTTGGGGATTCGGTGATGAAAAAATGATATGACCGCTGCGGTGGTGGCCCGGAACCTTGTCACTCCCAGAGATAACAAACTACTTTCCAAACGGTCTGATGAGTTGGCTGTTAAGAATTCTCTGGCTCTCAGTGTGCAGTGTGCAGGTTCTGTGTCTAATATGGCCCAACGCCTATTTGCTCGAACCCGTCAAGTTGAATCGTTGGCGGCTGAAGTGATGAGTCTCAAACAGGAGATTAGGGGGCTCAAGCATGAGAATAAACAGTTGCACAAGCTCGCACACAACTATGCCACAAACATGAAGAGGAAAATTGACCAGATGCAGGAATCTGATGGTCAGATTTTACTTGATCATCGGAGGTTTGTGGGTTTGTTCCAACAACATTTGCCTTCGTCTTCTGGGGCTGTACCGTGTAGTGAAGCTTCGAATGATCAACCTTTGGCTCCTCTACTTCCTGGAGTTCCGCCGAGTGGTGAGGCTTCAAACAGTCAACCTCCAGCGCCTCTCATTTCTGGAGCTCTGCCGAGTGGTGAGGCGGCACATGATCGTCCTTGAAGATCCCCTCTTGTAAATTTGATTTGATTTGATTTTTTTTTTCTTCTTAAGGTATGTAAAATTTCCAGAAAAAATAAATAAAATGGACTTTTATTTCTCTTAATGCTTTTTTTTATTTTTTTATTTTTTATTTTTTATGCACGTGGTGCCAGATGCACCATCCATTTATATTTTCCTTTCTTTTCCTTTTTTTTATTTTTTTTATTTGCACATGGTGCCAGAGCACCAAAAGATAAAACTTTTTTTTTTTTCCTTTGATCATGGTGCCAGACGCACCAAAGATCAAACATTTATATTTTTTGCCTTTAATCACGTGGTGCCAGCACCACTTTGCTCCACTATGTTGTTTTTTTTATTTTTTTTATTATATATATATTTATATAAATTCTGGTGATGGGATGAAGAACTTGCAGGAAGGACGAAGACGGAGAGGGCTGTAGAGTGACGAGCTCGAGGGAGGCCAGGCGCTGCGGTAGAAGGAGTCGATGCCGAGAGCGCAGCCCAACTTGCTCCGGGTGTGCGCACCATGTGCAGCAGGTCGGGTTTGAGTGGAGTGAGGACGGAGGATACAAGTTGGCGTGGAGGCCTTGTGCGCTCAGATGTGTAGCTGCTGAGCTGCAGTTGCGTCGCAGGGGAAGATAAGGGCAGACGAGAGAAGACGAGATCAGGCTGCGGTGAGATGATTGGACTGGTGGAGGCCGAACCGGCTCAGGTTTCTTCTCGATCCGAACAGGCGCCTCCCTCCTTGAAACCCTCTCGGGCTCAACATGGTTCCAGGAACTCGCCTGCAATTCCTCATCAGAACCCTTTTTCGGACCGGAATTCATCTCCGTGTTTGTCAATCAGAGGCTGAAACAACTCCTCAAACCTCGAACGAAGCTGATTGGCATAATTATACACCTCGTGGCCTTGGGGATTGTACCGCATGGCCTTCTCGAAAGTCAATCGTACATCAGCTGAGAAATCAGAAGGCGTTGAGGTCGTTGCTGGCGAGAATGGCGGAGGTGGACTGGTGGTGTCGGTGATAAATAGCATCATGGTGGGCCTGGCTTTAGGGCTTTCGGGGCCTGAAACGAGCTGCGGTTCTTGAGGCGGCCGAAGATGGATGTTCTGAAAACGCCATGGCATGACCTCGAGAATGAAATCTAGCAGTGGATCAACCATGATGATGTCCTTGTTACCGGCGGTGGTAACAAAGATATCGGCCTCAGAGACAACATCTTCAAGGGGAAGAACCTGAAGGCTTTCCATAAGAGCCTGGAGGGCACAGATTGGATCAATCTCAGTCACAACCACGCGAGATCCAGCTTGCTTGAGGGCAGCAGCACAACCCTTTCCGACATCTCCGTATCCACAGACAACTGAAACCTTTCCGGCAATCATAACATCAGTGGCTCTCATCAAACCATCGGGGAGAGAGTGACGGCATCCGTACAAGTTGTCAAACTTGCTCTTGGTAACAGAGTTGTTGACATTGATGGCGGGGAACAAGAGAGCGTCGCTGGCCTGCATCTGATACAATCTCTTGACGCCGGTGGTGGTCTCCTCCGAGACTCCGACCAACCTGTCCTTCATCTTGTGGTACCTCTTGGGGTCGGTTTTCAAGAAATCTGGATAAATGGTATGTAATCGAAAGATGGAGGACTCTCATCACTGTCTACTTTATTGACTGCGCGAATAGGCGTCTTCTCTTTCCCTTGAGAGATGTCGTTACAAAGGATAGGAGTAGCAGGCCTCACAAATCCAGGCCCAATAAAAGGATTTGTCCTGATTGCTGCACCGACTGGATTTAGGACTGATTTCATCCATTTCGGCTTGGGGACGACATTTAAAATAGAGAGATACCCCACTTTGATATATATATATACACACACACACACACACACACACATATATATATATATATATTTTTTTTTTTTTTTGTGTAAATACATAAAACATGTATCTCTCTCTCTTTTTTTTTTTTTTTTTTTTGGTATAAAGAAATTGTAATAGCATCAAAACTTTTAATTAAATCTTTATTCCTTATTTTGGTGTGACTGAACTCAAATTTTGAATATTTGAGTTGCCTACGTACCCTTCCAAAGAAAGAGATCAAGTCAAAACGTAGTTCAAATACATTTTTTTTTTTTGGTATTTTCTTTTTGTACCGTTTGCAGTTTTAACTCATGCAGGCAAGGAGTGTTGGTTTCGTTTGCAGTTTCAACTCGTGCAGACAAGGAGCATTTGGTGTCGTGTTGCAGTTTCAGCTCGTGCAGACAAGGAGCATTTGGTGCCGTTTTGCAATTTCAGCTCGTGCAGGCAAGGAGCTTTGGGTTGTTGCCTTTTAGGCTCGTGCAGACCAGGAGCTTTGTGCCATGCAGTTTAGACTCGTGCGGGCGAGGAGAATTTTGTGAATTTTGTCAAGCAATTTTGGAGAGGCGTTCCTCACAATTTTCATAGCAAGGAGCTTTGACCGCGTGATTGAAAAAATCTTCGGGCAAGAAGTCGCGCATCGTGATGGCAACGGACGATCTATGTGTCGAAATGTCATCATCTTCAACACGTTCACGTTGCTTTGAAGGTTGACAAGAGCTGCTTTGCCCCCTTTCCGATTGGCGGACTTGTGGAGGAGACGTATGCTTCTTGTGCAATTTCTTAGGAGTGACTTGAGTCCATCCTTCAATTTTGCTTGTCTTGGACGATGCCCCCAGCGGTTGAGGTGAAAACTTTGAGTCGGAAGAGCCAGAAGTGAAGGTGGTATAGTTTGACTTCGCCACTTCGTCAAGATCTAGCTCGATGATTCCTTTCTGAGCCAGTTTCATGATGAGATCTTTCAGCACGAAACATTTTTCTGTCGGATGACTGATGAAGCGGTGGAATTTACAGTATCTTGGACTGCCAGTACGATTTATCTCTTCTGGCCGTCTGCACTCAGGCAAGCCGATCACCTTCTTTTCCAGCAAGTCTTCTAACATGGCAACCACATCAGAGTCGGGGAATGGATAAGTTTTCTCCTCGAGCTCCTTCAAAGTGCGTCTACGCATCTCTTGATCACGAAAGCCTTCGGCTTGAATCGCCTTGCCTCGTGTGGAGATTTTGACAGGAGATGTGTTGACCGTCATCGCTTCCTTGGTGGGTTTCCATGCAGCCTTTTCCACCTTTGTCTCAAGAACTTTGTCATTCTTGTAGTTGGCGATTGGTTCCTTCTTCCCATGATGGGCGATCAACTCCATGTCATGGGCGCGAGTGGCTAATTCCTCGAAGGTCCGTGGTTTAATGCCTTGAAGGATGTATTGCAAACCCCATTGCATGCCTTGGATGCACATCTCGATTGAAGAGGTTTCCGAGAGCCTGTCTTTACAGTCGAGGCTTAGAGTGCGCCATCTGTTGATGTAGTCAATGACTGGCTCGTCCTTCCACTGCTTTGTGCTCGTTAGCTCTAGCATGCTCACAGTGCGGCGGGTGCTATAGAAGCGGTTGAGGAATTCCCGCTCTAATTGTTCCCAGCTGTTTGATGGACTCAGGCTCTAGGTCTGTGTGTACCACTCAAAGGCGTTTCCTTTCAGCGAGCGCACAAACTGCTTGGCGAGGTAATCCCCTTCGGTTCCTGCGTTGTTGCAAGTTTCAACGAAGTGGGCAACGTGCTATTTCGGGTTTTCCCTTTCCATCAAATTGCATGAACTTTGGTGGTTGATAACCCCTCGGCATCCTTAAGGCGTCGATCTTCTTTGAATACGGCTTTGAGTACAACCCGGAGGTATTTGAGCTCCCTTCGTACTGTGCCTTGATGGTGTTGGTGATCATCTCTTGCAGCTGCTGGATAGAAAGAGATCCCATGAGTGCCGCTGCTTGGTCTGGCTCCGGCTTCGCATCGTTTTTCTCCACCTGAGGCTCTTCGTCTCCGCCAGCTCCTCCTTTTAGTGGATCATCCTCTGGGTCGGGTTTATCGCCGTCCTGCGCCTCCAGTCGGTTGACTAGTGCTGCAATTTGCAAGTCTTTTTCTTCCACAGTTTGGGTTAGCCTTGCGATTGCTTCATTCATTTGAGCCAGCTGCTCATCGATTGAAGTTGCTCCAATGGTCATGACTTGCATGGCTGAACTGTCGCTTGAATCGGCATCAGAGAGCATGGATTCGGAGTATTTCCTTGGGCTTTCCCCCCTTGGTACCCTTAGTGAGGCTAAGGTGATCAAAGGCTCGTGCCTTGGGTGCTTTTGTTCCTTTGGCAGAGTTGATGCAGAGGTGAAAGAGGCGGCAAAAGTAGCTCTTGCCATGCTTCGAGTCGTGATGCCCAAAGTGACACCAGTTGCGACGAGGACGCTTTTGTTCTTTGCGCCGGTTACGGGAACAGTTTGAGCCTTCCTTGATGCCATTAATTTTGGAAGTGCGCTTGAATTTCTTGAACGGAGAAAGAGATGAGAGGCAGAGATTGTCCCACTGGGCGTGCCAATTTGTGAACACGGAAAATTCCTGAAACGAAAGAGACAAGAACGAACGTGCACAAACAAATATTTGTATTTGATGATTTTGGGTTACAATCTCTCTCTATTTTGATCCTCTGATTCGATCTCCGTAAGGTGTTGATTTGTGGGATGTGCGATTGATCCAAGGGCCGTCGAGGCTTGATCTTGGATAAACGAGGATGAACGGATCTTCGAGGGCTTTTGAGCTTGATCTTGAAGAATGGTGATTGACGGATCTTCAAGGGCTTTTGGGCTTGATCTTGAAGAACAGTGATGAACGGATTTCCGAGGGCTTTTGGGCTTGAACTCGAAGAACAGTGACGAACGGACCTTCGAGAGCTTTTGGGCTTGAACGGATCTTCGAGGGCTTTTGGGCTTGATCTCGAAGAATAGTGATGAACGATGAACGCTTTTCTCAAGGGCCGTCGGGGCTTGGGCTTGATGAACAGCGAATGAGCGGATTTGTTGATGTTGTCGATCCAAAGGGGCCGTTGGGGCTTGATCCTTGAGGATGAACAGTTGATGAACGATGAACGCTTTCTTCAAGAGGCCGTTGAGGCTTGGGCTTGAAGGTGGATGATTGTTGATCCAAGGGCCGTCGGGCTTGATCTTGGAAGAACGATGAACGAAGAACGCTTTCTTGATTCTTCGGGAACCTGGATGCTTGAGAGCTTCGGAGTTTCAGAGCTTCAGAGCTTCAAGAGTTTTTGCCTAATGATTTTTTTGGTCCCTTAAATGAATGAAATGGGCTTGTATTTATAGAATTTTCCAATGCCTAATTTTGAATATAATATCCCAGATGAAATAAGTCGTTTCTGCCAGGTGTTGACACGTGTCCTATTTGATGATTTTTCCAACTCATTTCAATTTTCGTTGAGTCACACGCTACGTGTAAAATTTATGTAATACATGAGCGTTGACACTTTGATTTATCGGTCAACATTTATTTACGAAATTTCGATGTCTACAGAATCAAAATGGTTTTATATTTCTAATACGGTGGTGGGCATGAATTAAAGGGGAGACGACAGAGGAATTATGCATGACTCTCGGTAGAGTTTGCTCATGTGGAAGCAATCCTCCGACGCAACGTATAAAAATATTAAATTCAAATGAAAAATTTATGTTCGTGTAGAAAATGTAAAATCATGACTATAAGGCTGGGATAGAGCCACTTAAGCTACAAGTTAAATAATATTTTTCTTCTTTTACAAGTAAGAAGTTTTAAGTTTGATTTTCGTTAAAAGAGAATTTGAACCAAATTAGCCAAGACTTTCTGGGGCCTTCTCTTTCTGGGGCTCTACCGACTGCTGAGACTTCTCCTAAGCAACCTTTGTGAAGGCTCCCTCTTGTTTGTTTATTTTGACTCAAGTATATGTACATATTTGTAACTTATCGGGGATATCAATAAATAAGCTTTCCTTCATTTCAACGTATTGTGTTAAATACACCAAAGCTTTCTTCGCTAAGTTCTTTGAATTTTCTTTTGTTGAAGCTTTGTGAGTGGAGCATGTAGGCTGAGGTAGTGTTCCCTTAATTTTCCGAGTGAGGAAAACTTCTCGGTTGGAGACTTGGAAAATCCAAGTCACTGAGTGGGATCGGCTATATGAATCTTAGAACGCCATTGTGTTCTGTCCTGTGTCATGTCCTCCGTTAGATCCAAGTACTCTAAGTCTTTTCTTAGGGTCTCTTCCAAAGTTTTCCTAGGTCTTCCTCTACCCCTTCGGCCCTGAACCTCTGTCCCATAGTCGCATCTTCTAATCGGAGCGTCAGTAGGCCTTCTTATGTAAAATCATGACTATCAAGGCTGGGATAGAGCCACTTAACCTACGAGTTAAATAGTATTTTTCCTCATTTGTAAATGATAAGTCTTAAGTTTGATTTTCGTCAAAGAGAATTTGAACCAAATTAGCCAGACTTTTAAAGCCCGGCCCAAGTTGAGTTTTGTTTGAACTCCTTGTATAATCCACAAATTAAAATTAAAAAGTAAATAATTGCAAAAAGAAGGTTCCGCTGCCGCGAATCGAACCCGGGGAGTCGGTGTTGAGTTTTGTTGAGCTATTCGCTTACGTCAGCGATAAAACCTCTCATTTGGAAGGCCGAAGGCCTCGCAGCTCATTTCTGTAGCGGTGTAGCCCTAACCCAACCTAGTTGAACGAAACTCTCTCGCTCTCTCTCCCCCCCCCTCTCTCTCTCATCACTCCCGCCGTCGCCTCTCTCTTTAGGGCTTTTCATCGGCAGTTGCTTCATTCATATTCTGCCGGTAAGAGTTTGTTTCCAATGGATTTGTGTTGTTTATTTATTCCCTTTGATTGTTTTTGTTGTCATCTGCCTCGAATGGATTCCGTTTCTATTGTTATTTGCAAATTTGTGTTTTGGGTTTTGCTTAATTCGTTTTCTCAACTGAGAAATAGGATTATTTTCGTTTGATTTATCATGTATTATGAGCGCGAAACCAGGTGGATAGAAATTTTCGTGTTAATGATTATATTTTTTTATTTAATTGGAGTTATTTTCCTGAAATCTTTAGTTTTATGAACTAAATTCAACGCTTCGACTCATGAGAACAAGAAACAATTTTTATTCTGAATCTTATTTTAATTTTTCAGAATTCAGAAATGGGTTTGTTTATACTCTGCATATATATCTGTTCGTGCGAAAAAAAATTCAAACTTTGCCGTGACATAATACTAGCAATCTGGTTCTTATAATTGTTGTTGTTCTTATAATTGTTGTTTTTGTGTTTGCGTTCACCAGCAATGGCCGAGGAAGCAATGGCTGAGGACGCAGGTATGTTTATGGTTCATCAGACTGTTGGGAGCGTACTATGTTGCAAATGCGGTATTCCCATGGCACCAAACGCTGCCAATATGTGTGTCAAGTGTCTGCGCTCTGAAGTTGATATTACGGAAGGTCTGCAGAAGCATGTCACCATTGTTCATTGCCCTGAGTGTGAGTGCTACTTGCAGCCTCCAAGAACTTGGATCAAAGCCCAATTGGAGTCGAAGGAGCTGCTGACCTTCTGCGTTAAGAGACTCAAGAACTTGAATAAAGTTCGGTTGGTGCATGCTGAATTTATTTGGACTGAGCCTCACTCCAAGAGGATCAAGGTTAAGTTGAAAGTTCAGAAGGAGGTCCTTAATGGAGCAATACTTGAACAATCATATATTGTTGAGTATGTTCAGCAAGAGCATATGTGCGAATCCTGTTCAAGGGTTCAGGCCAACCCTGACCAGTGGGTTGCATCTGTGCAACTCCGCCAGCATGTTTCTCACAGGCGCACATTTTTCTATCTGGAGCAGCTGATCCTGAAGCACGGTGCTGCTGCTAGTGCTATAAAGATAAAGCAGATGGAACAAGGTATCGACTTCTTTTTCTCAAACCGAAGTCATGGTGTGAAATTTGTGGAATTTGTGGGCAAAGTTGCTCCAGTAAGGAGTCGCAGTGACAAACAGCTTGTTTCCCATGATTCTAAAAGTAACAATTATAATTATAAGCATACATTCTCTGTTGAAATAAGCCCCATTTGCCGTGAAGATTTGATTTGTCTGCCTCCCAAGGTCAGGTCTAGTTTGGGAAATCTTGGTCCCCTCGTGATTTGCACCAAAGTGACCAATAGTATTGCTTTGCTTGATCCGCTCACCCTGAGGCATTGTTTCTTAGATACTGATCAGTATTGGAGGTATTCCTTCAAGTCTCTGCATACAAGCAGGGAGCTGGTGGAGTATATAGTGCTTGATATGGAGATTATTTCCCCTGAAGTTAATGTTGGTGGCTCAAGATATGCTCTAGCTGATGCACAAGTTGCTCGCGTGTCTGATTTTGGGAAGAATGACACTATTTTCAACATAAAAACACATCTCGGCCATATTTTAAGCCCAGGTGATTATGCTCTTGGTTATGACATGTATGGGGCTAACAGCAATGATGATGAACTAGAGAAATACAGGAGTCTGGTCATTCCAGATGCAATCTTAATAAAGAAGAGCTACGAAGAAAAGCGGCAGAAGAAGCGTGGGAAGCCTCGTCCCTGGAAGCTTAAATCCCTTGGAATGGAGATTGATGATAAAAATAAAACAGATCAAGAAAAGGTGGAGTCGGAGTATGAACAGTTCTTGAAGGATCTGGAGGAGAACCCTGAGATGAGGTTTAACATGTCACTGTACAAGAATGAAGAATACCAGCCGTCAGAGATGGCATCTATGACTGATGGGGAAGATGCACCTTCTGTCCCACTTGAAGAGTTGCTTGATGACCTTAAACTTCGTGACTCCGACCATGACGTTGAAGATGAGGAAGACGATAGTAGCATGCGGGAGTAAATGGTGGTTTAAACTGAATATTAAGTTCGTCACTGGGTACCTTCTTTAGTTTGGTTTTCCTTTAAAATTGTTTTTCGTATGTTTTTTTTTTCCTGCTTACAACAGTGGCTGTTTGTTGTACGGAAGAGTTGAGTGGACCCTTATTTGGAGCTAAATATGCTTGTTAGTTTTTATTACAGTAGTGAGAAGTAGGATGAATGCACAAGATACTTCTACTCAAAGGCTTTTGAATTTTTGTCAGGACGATGGCAAACAAAATTTCTATGGTGCTTTGGAGTATTCGACTCTCTGGAGTACTAGTAGTATAGAAAATCTCTTTCTCATGCTCCGGAGCATCCTTCAATTGTCACGTTGTATATCGAACTGATATACAAGTATAAAATCAACTGAAACTTTCTTCTTTAAAAAGATATTTGAAATTAAATGACAATGGCACAAAAGAAGAAAAAGCCCTTTCACAAAAAGCATAAAACTAAGGGTTGGTTTGGTATTGATGTGCTTTGAAAAAAAACTGCTGGGAGAATAATCGGCTGTGCTGTGAGAATAAGCGGCTGTGAAATAAATCAACAGAGTGTTTGGTAAACTTTTTTGTAAAAGTGCTTTTGGAAAGAAAAAAAAAGCAGTTTGATAGTGGGTCTTTTTATTAAAGGAGCACTGTAGCTCCGTGTGCTTTGAAAAAAAACCAATTTTTCAAAGCTGCAAATAGCAGCTTCAGCTTTTTCCTTTGATTTCAGCTTGCAAATAGCAGCTTCAGTTTTTTCCTTTGATTTCAGCTTATTCTCACAGCAGCTTCCAAAATAAGTTTTTTTTTTTTTCAGTTTACCAAACACCTAAAATTCTCACAGCTTTTTTTTATGGGTGCTTTTTTTTTAAGCACCTCATTCCCAAACCACCTCTAAAGCAGCTATTACAAAAAGTAGTAATCTAAAGCATGACAATTGACAAAAGAAAAAGAAAAAAGATAGCAGATAGCAGATGACATGGTAGTAGAGCGTGATGGGTTTCTTCCAAGAACCTGAGACTTGGCATCTGCTCTTCTTTCAGCACGGAGAAGAAAGAAACGCCCCATTTTCGTATTTACCGCTACATACGCCTGAGAAAGGATGGAAAATAAGGTAAATGAAAATCCAAAATCATAAGGAGTAATGTTCGACTTTTCATATTTCTAAAATAAACAATGTGTTTCCAATTTCATAACAAAAGGCTATGGTTTCAAGATTTTACCTATATGAGGGCATTCACTTCATTCTTGTAAGCTTCGGTTATGCTAGTTCAGTCACCTACCCTACCCTAGTACACGGTATGCTACTCATTCATCCTTATTGTCTCGACTGTATCTTGGTTAACAAATTCATCATTTAGATTAAAGATGTAGTTGAGATAACTGATTCGGTAACGGACCGTTTGAGAACCATTTCACTTATTTTGGTTTTCACTTTTTGTACTTCAGAACTAATGAAAACCAAAACACTAAAAACGAAATGGACCCTAAACTTTTGTGCAGGAAATAGAAATCTTTATCATGGCATTGTAAGTGACATTATCATGACCAACCAACCTCTTCATAAATGTTTTAAATGCTGCCCATGATTAAGGGGTTTTCCTTCTGAGATTTTGATCTCAAGGCATGAGTTAGAAAACACTTAAATTAGGACCCCATTGTGCACCTCAAACATTCATATATAATTTAACAACTAAGATACAAATCCTCAACTTAAGTTCTACATGCACACACAAACACACACATGATATAAGTACAGTGCCGGTGCAACAAAGTTACACTTGCAAATTGAATTGTACAATGGTCTCGTGGATGGGACTACTTTTAGAGAAAAAAGAGTACCTGTGGTCTTTCTGAAGTTTGCTCAATATAGCATCCAGGTCCATGTGCATTCTTAAACTATCCGAAGAAACGTTCTTTATCAAGTGTTGTATTGCTGATGCAGCTTGTTCCTGAATGCAAACAAGGAGATTAAGACCAACAGCTATACTCGTTTCCTACAATTAAATAACTAATGGGGCATTTCAAAAGATAAAAAGAAAAAAGAAAGTCTGGATGGATTTCAAAGTTCAAGAACCAAAGAGTAAAGTTTACAGTAAAGGCAAGAACTAAAGTAATACGAGCAAATAAACATCAAGCATTACTGGTCTAGTAATGTCTCTTCCAAGCATTGCGTATCAATACACAATGGAAGACTGCTCTGAATGGATAACATTGAAACAGCAATGAAAAGTTCCATATTTTATATAGCACGATGTTTCATATATGCTAGATACTTAGAATTCTTATAACCATAGTAAGATTTCTGTTTATCAGCTAAGCTCCATATACTAGGGTAACTTAATAGCTTCTCGGTTCAGAGTCAACCTTTAGGTTAGGTAACTTAATAGCTTCTCGGTTCATAGTAAGGTTTTTGGCCACTTGATTAGTGGCCAAGTGGCCAAAAACCTTTCGGTGCATATAATAAAAAATAAAGGATATAATGATGTGGGAACATCATTATGAGGAGACAAATGATTATGTTTCCTTTTGTTTTGTTGAATTTTCAAAGGCAGAGAATTTGGTTTTTTACTTCCACCCTTTACCTTTGGAGAAGTAGAGAGAGTATCATTTGTTTTTTGGAGAAGCCCAACTTTGCTCAGAGAGCAGAGCATCCGAGCAGAGAAGAAAGGTGTGCTGCATTCCTCATTGGAAGAGAGCACCTCTCTTCAGTTAGTAATCATTCATCAAAGTTGTATTTGTTGTATTAGCTTTGAGCTTTGTATAGAGAGGAAATTATTCACAATATTTCCTTCACTATTTGGTTCTTTGGTGTGTGAGAGCTATTGGTTGTATTGGGGTTTTCGGTTGTGAGATTGCCAACACTTTGTAAACTCCCATTTGGTCGATAGTGGATTATTAGGTGAGCTCCTACTGCTCCGAGGACGTACTCCAGTTAAACTGACTGTTGAGGAACCTCGTTAAAATCTTGGTGTCTTTTACATTTTGCTCTTGCATTCCATTTGATATATTTCCTGTGGGTTAGCTTGAGTTGGTTCCAATTGGTTTGGTGCTATCCTAGCACAACACTTATTACTTAACTGTGTCTTTCATACTGCCCCTCCAGGCATCCTCTTACACATTTTTCACCCTTTGGTTTATTACTCTATCCATCTTAATTTAGCTATAGGCTTTGGTTCCATATGCAATTCCTGGCAACCCAAATACTTTTCAAGGAGGAAAACAAAAGCAAATCTCTAACTGAACAATATGACCATTCAAAACAAAACATGCCAGGGTAAAACGTAAAACATAACTACAACCATGTTCAAATAAGCACAAGGGAACTTGGCCTATCAAAATTGAAGTAGAGAGATCTAGCAAAGACGAGGCACAATTATGTAAAACATTACTGATAAAAACCGAGCAAGTAATCACAAAATAACATAACAGATAGTAAATTCATAAACCCGCACCTTTAATCTTGGAATCGAATGTTGGTCAAGTGCACTAACTAGTGCAGGCACAATCCTCAAATGATGAAGAATCTGCATTGCCTCAATCAGGATTATAGGCAGTTGCATAAAATTAAAAGCTGCACAACAAACTTGAGACTGGGGATCTTGGAATGATTTCAAAATCATGGTTGTAACTTGTTCCAAATATTTTTTCATCAGTACCTGCACTAAAGGAATGGGTTGAGACATATCAATGATTTAAAGGATCGCATATAATGATGAAATAACAGGTACTGGATACCTGAGTTACTAACCACGTGCTAAGTTTACTAACACAAGCTTGTGCACTATAAATAGCTCAGACTAACAGGAGATAATCTAGCTTTATCATTAACAAACCTTAAACCCCAGTCCCAGGGCAAATGCGCAAACCAGAAAATCTATATGGTGTGTATACCATTCCTTCATCTTTTATTGATACCGACACACAATGTTAGTTGACTGAACCATATAAAAAGACAAGTTATGGTTTTTAAGACTGGTTGGTAACTCAGGTAAACCAACTAACCATCATACTTAGATGATCTGCAGTACAGTACCATATCACATAAATATTTCTGAATACCAGTAGGCAAAAATCAAGCAATCAACCAGTCATAGAACTATTACCATCTCCTCTGAGCACTCCTTTGCAATAACCGCTAGCATAGAAATTCCTGCGTGGCGCTTCTTCCAATCGGAAGCATCCATGTACTCCAAGAACAACTCAAAAGCTATGGGGGTCATTGTCTTTTCACCTAAGGCGGTTGATATTTTTGTCAGGTATGCAATTCCAAGATCTGTCTTCCCAGCATTCTCAGCCTGCTCGCTTTCTGTGTTGTAACATGCATAGTCATCATTTATACTGAGAAGCAGTTTCATTGGGACTGCCAGCAGTTTAACCAAAGTCTGATGTGGCAGCCCCCTCATTGTAAGTGCCAAATCGCTTGCTTCTACTACGGTCAGCAAGAATTTGTGAACAAACACTTTGGTTCCCTCTGTCACCTGTTCACTGTCTACTATCTTAAGCATATCAAGTACTAGTTCGTTAAGGTAGGGCTTCAAGAGTTGTGGCTCTTCCTTTACCAACATTATTAACTCCTTGAGAGCCCCGCGAGCATAGTCTTCTTTCAAGTGACTTAACAAATTAAACAGTCCAACCATCATCCCCCTCAAAAGGTCATGAAACCAATTCCGCCCTAATGAATTCGAAAACAAATGGATCAAACTAACCACAGCACCAAATGTCGCAACCTGAATATCAGCATTTTCCGAATTCAACATACGCAAAAATGCTGAGTGGGTAGGTTCAATGCTAGGAGCTAACGTTTCACAAATAACCGGACGATACACTTTTGGGAAAAAAGAACACACCCACAAAGCAGAAAGCTGAAACCTTTCGGAGTCCGACTGAAAAGACATCAACAAATAGTCAATGAGCTCCGGCCACTCATCGCCAGTCCTAGAAATCTCCACTGCCATTTCAGATGCAATGAGACAGAGAATCCTCAAAATGGGCAATGAGCCCTCTTCATGAAGGCGAACAAGAAATAGATTTTTAAGGTTAATTTGAGCATTCAATGACAACTTCGGCCAAAGGTCACCGAGCACAAACCGGAGAACAAGCGCAGACCTGGTGCGAATCTCTGCGGAAGGCCCGTTCCTAATCACAAAGAAAACCTTGATGAAAAGCAAATCCGGGAAGTGCTTTCTGCAACAATGTAGAAGGCTATAGGCCTGAGATTTTTGGGGCTCTTGAGGGCTGAAGAGATGAGAAAGGAGCGTCTCCATTGGCTGCACATCGTTCGAACTCAGAGTTGCGTAGGCTTGCATTTGCAATTGCTGAGAAAATACCGGCTCCATCGTCGTTCTTCGCTGAATTTGGTTTTCAGGAATCGTCATTTCGAATGTGGGGTTCTGAGGAACTAGAGGATTCGCTCGAGAAACCAAAAGTTGGTGGTTGACGGTTCGATTTACTGATGAATAAATGAGTTTTGGGTTGTGAGACTTGAGACACAAGAAAGGTAGAACCAAACCAAAATTTGGGAGGGCACAAGGAAGACTGTCTGCACTGCCCAATGCAAGCTTTTACATTTTTCAAAGGAAATTGCAATGTATAACGAAATAGTTGAATTTTCCAGTTACAAGGTAAATATGCCTTCTGAGCCGGAAATTTTGAGTTTGTTTCTTATTGGGCCAGAAAAAGTTAGATACTGATAAGGATGAGTTGAATAATTGGGTGCAAGTGCACCGTATCTAACTCTTATGAAGACTCGCGTCTATTAATCTTGGTCTAGTGTAAAAATAATACAACAAGATTTAAACTTACAAAAGGATGCGAGGTTGATATTATTACTTTTACTTTTGATCTTGTACGTTGTGTTGAGAAACAAACATACTTTAATACATTCGACAACACCTTACATACATAAAGAAAAAATTTCATCTCCCTGATACTTTTTCACGTAAAACTTTCAATGGTTGTCGTCAATGTCCATATTAATTTGATTCCTTATACAATCATACATGTAACATTCACACTACTTGTCATAACAATATTATTATTTTATGTTAATATTATCGATGTGATTTTAGTAGAAACTGAAAAGCCTCCGCCAAAACTTGAAACCTTGCCGCCAAAACTTCAAAAATAGGGTTTTTTAAAGAATAACACTTTCCAAAGCTCCAATGCCGAACTAAGCAGAGGAAGTCCCGAAGAAAGAAGATTAGCATAGAAATGAGGTCAAGGAAAGCTCCGGTGGCATTTAGGGCGGCGGGGCAGCGCTCACTGCCTTCATTATTCTCGTCTTGCTCAAAAACGCCGTAAGGGAAAAGTCACCAAACCCAACGTTTTTCTCTTTTGTCGATTAAATTGGAGTTGATTTTTGTTAGATACAATTGTTTTGAGTGGAATTAGGGCCAAGGTTGCAGAAGAAAATCCAGATGAAGGCAACAATGTGCCACTTTCGGACTCTTCAGAGAGGAAGCTGCTCCGGACTTCTGCAAAATCCACAACAGTAAAGGTACCCATTTGTTACCTTCTGTTTGGTTGCTGAGAAAATTGTGAGGGAAAGAAAGAGACAAATCAAATACTGGGTTTTATATTTTCTGTCCAGATTTACTGTTTTCTCTGATTATTAGAAGCAAAAGAGGAATCTTGTAGGCTACATTTTACCCAAGTGAATCGTACTTTCGTGAAAAATTGCAACTTTAAGTTGCCAAAGGCAACTAGTTGTATTGTAAATTTGTAGAATTTTTTATGTGTATTTCATGAAGAAACAATTACAAATGAAACATATATATAGGAAAAGAAAGTAGACATAAGCCTAACTTGCCTAACTTGCCTAACTTGCCTAATTTCCTAACTTGCCTAACTTGCCTAATTTACACAAAGAATGTTGACTAGCCTAACTTCACTAGTCATCCAACATGTTTATTTCATGCATACATTTTAACACAAGATATGACTTGCATGCATTCTTCCAACACTCCCCCTCAAGCTGGATCGAGGGGATTCGCTGAGCCAAGCTTGCCCAATAACCGATGAAACTGAGATGATGCTAGTGCCTTTGTAAAAAGATCTGCTAGTTGCTCATTGATCTTCATGGCTTCGTGTGAACATGGTCCGGATGATTTGCGTTTGAACTTGAGCTCTGATGAAATGACAATCCACTTCAATATGTTTGGTTCTTTCATGGAACACAGGATTGGCAGCAATGTGCATGGCTGCCTGATTATCACACATAAGCGTCATAGGAGTAGAACTAGGAAACCCTAAGTCTGAAAGAAGCCCTTTAAGCCAAATGAGTTCACATGCAGTGGCTGCCATGGCTCGATACTCAGCCTCTGCGCTGGATGCTGGAACGAGCAATTACTTGTTGCTTCTTACTCTTCCATGTGACAAGGTTTCCACCAACAAATGTACAATAGCCTGTGATTGATTTCCTATCAATTGCATTACCTGCCCAGTCTGCATCTGTGTAGCCACTAATGACAGTGGACTGATTGTTTATGCATTGTAATTCCTTGCCCAATTGAACCCTTAAGATAACGAAGGATTCTCTTAACAAGGTTAAGGTGATCAACAGTGGGAGAGTGCATGAACTGACTAGCCAAGCTCACTGCATATGTGATATCTGGACGAGTGATAGTGAGGTATATGAGCTTGCCTACTAATCGTTGATAGTAGCTTACATCATGCATGGCTTCTCCATCTATGCTGAGCTTCAGTTTACAATCAACGGGAGTGATAGCAGGCTTGCAGTCAAGCATTTTTGCTTCTTGAAGGAGGTCCAATACATATTTCCGTTGATGTAGAAACAGTCCTTTTGAAGATGTGGCCATTTCGATCCCCAAAAAATACTTTAACCTCCCCAAATCTTTGATAGCGAAAGCTTGATGTAGTGAAAGTTTTAGTGCCTCAATCTCCATGGTATTATCTCCAGTGATGATAAGATCATCAACATAGACGAGGACCACCAACTTCCCCTTGGTGCCAGTTCTTACAAATAACGAAGAATCAGCATTACTTCGCATGAATCCAGCCTTTTCCAGAACAGAACTGAGCTTGGCATACCAAGCTCTTGGTGATTGTTTCAATCCGTATATTGCCTTGTGCAATTTACAAACCATGTTGCCTTTAATACCATCATATAGCCTGGAGGAGGTTGCATATATACACTTCTTCCTGCAGCTCGCCGTGAAGGAAAGCATTCTTCACGTCCATTTGGTAGAGTGACCATCCACAATTGATTGCAACTGACAGTAAAACCCTGACTGAGTTCATCTTGGCCACTGGTGCGAATGTTTCCTTATAATCTACACCAAAGGTTTAGGTGAAACCTCGAGCAACAAGTCTAGCCTTGTGTCTCTTGATAGATCCATCAGCTTTGAATTTAGTCTTGTAAATCCAACGACTTCCAACAGCCTTTTTTCCTGGTGGTAGTTGAACTAGGCTCCAGGTGCAATTCTCTTCCAGTGCCCGAATCTCTTCTTTCATGGCTTGGTTCCATTGTGGGAGAAGAGAAGCTTCTTGAAAGCTTCTTGGTTCATAGTGCTTATCAATTTCACTGAGAAATGCAGCGTGAGATGTTGAGAACTTACTAAAGCTGATACATTCATTGATTGGATGTCGTGAGGCATATGTAACATAGTCCTGCAACCTAGCTGGAGGTTTTCTGATTCGAGGAGGATTTCTTTTAATCACCTGAGACTCTGTAGAGGGCGGAGAAGGATCAGAGTAGGGCTCCTCTTCACTCTCACTGGCAGTAATTTGGTCAGTTTGAACTTCTTCACAATCTGGACTTACAATGACTGATCTCTTTTCCAACATCGGATAATTAAAGTTTTGAGGGAGTGGGAACATGTCAACTAAATCCTCCCCCTGACTTGTAAAATAGGGATAGTCTTCTTCGAACTTCACATCTCTTGAAACTGTGCACTTCTTAGTGACTGGATTGAAGCACTTGTATCCCTTTTGAGTGGTCGAGTATCCCATAAACACACACTTGGTTGCCCTGGCATCTAGTTTGTCACGGTTCAAGGTTTGGATGTGAACAAAACACACACAACCAAACACCTTGAGATGTGTCAAATCTATTTTCCTCCCCTTGAGAACTTCATAGGGAGATTTAAACCCTAGCACACGACTTGGAAGTCGATTGATGAGATAAGTGGCAGTAAGGATGGCAAACGACCAAAATTTCTTTGGAACGTGCATGTGAATCATGAGAGCACGAGTTTTTTCCAAGAGATCTCTATTTTTCCTCTCGGCTACTCCATTTTGTTGGGGAGTCCCCACACAGCTGGTTTGATGTATGATACCCTGAGAACTTATGTATTGAAGCATGTTGTTGGATAGAAATTCAGTGCCATTATCTGACCTTAAAACCTTAATGTTTGATTGAAATTGCGTTTTAACATGCATGTGAAAGTCTTTGAAAATGGTAGGGACTTCATTTTTTGATTTCATAAGATATAGAAAACTTGTTCGAGAGAAATCATCAACAAATAAAAAAGGTCGTACCCAGTGCACAAGGCTCCCGCTTTACGCAGGGTCTGGGAGAGGTGAATGTCGGCTAGCCTTACCTCCATTTATGGAGAGGCTGCTCCCAAGTCTCGAACCCGAGACCTACCGCTCATGGGCGAAGGCACTTGCCATCGATTCAGTTGCAGGTCCCCATACATCGGTGTGTACCATTTCAAAAGGTTTACTTGTCCTAGACATTGAATTACCAAAAGGTAGCCTAGTAAACTTAGAAAATTGACAAGTATCACAAGTAGGATAGGGGTTACAAAAATTTGGAAACAGTTTCGACAAGACAAGTTCAGAAGGGTGAGCTAATCTCCTATGCCAAAGTTGGTTTTCATCTATGGACTTCGATTGAGCTTGAAGAGCCTGAGTGAAACATGCATTCTTGCACAGGTAGTAAAGTCCATTTATGAAGACCCCTTCACCAATCATCTTCATGGTGAGAACATCCTGAAACATTACTTTATTTGGTGAGAAAATAGCACGGCTTACTTTATTTGGTGAGAAAATAGCACGGCAGTTTAGGGTGTTGGTGATCTTTCCAATTGACAAAAGTTGGAAGGGAAAGGTTGGTACATAGAGGGCAGTGGAAGGTGTTTTTTGAGAGAGTAAGTTTATTTCTCCTTTTCCCAAAACTAAGACATTTTTTCCATTTGCAACAGACACATGTGAGGGGCTTGAAATTTTTTTAAAATGATGTAAATTTGTAACTTTGTTTGTCATATGATCTGTGGCGCCTGAATCAATTATCCAACAATCAATTTCAGTACTAGTTAATAGGGCAGTAGTAAAGGCATTGAGTATACCTGATGCTTCTCCCTTTGGAACTTTCTCATTTCCAGCAAGAAATCCGGCAAATTGTCCCAACATAGCTGTGTGACTACCCTCTTCATTGCCTTGACCATGTGAGCCTCCTCCGTGCCCCTTACTTTGTAGGTAAGCTGCAAATTCATTGATCAATGACAATGGATTGGCAGTGAACTCCATGGATCCTTGTGAGATAGTAGGAGCGTGAGCATTAGCAAGTTGTGCCTTGAAATGAGGTTGAAATTGTTGTGAGGACCTTGGTATCATCCTTCCATCTTTCCTGAACTTAGGCTTGAGTTCAGGATGAAGTTCCCAACATTTGTCTTCCTCATGACCAACACCATTGCAATATTTGCATTTTAGATGTGTGTTTCTTCCCTTGTA